AGAAGGATTTTCCAATATGGCGGATCCACTACTACAAGGGCGGTACCCAATGCGCGGGCTCCGCCAAGCACTGGGGGTGGCCGCCATGTGCTTGCAGGAGCGAGAAATCGAAAGACCGAAAATCGGGGAAATTGTCACCGCCACAACATTTATAACATCACTAACCTACGAACCCAACGCACCACCACCGCCCGCCCCCACACAGGACAACAACAACCAAGCGGGGGGGTCCACCTCCATGCCACGTCTCCAAGACCTGTTGAGGGTCGCCGCAGAAGTAGGAGAAGGAAGCGGGAGCCACCAAGGCTCGTCCTCGACTCACACGAGAGAATATTCTCCGAGCAATCTGGACATGGAGAGAGAGCCTGCAGTTGCTGCACCAGCACCAAAAGAGAGGGGTGATGGTGCGGAGAGTTCTGAATGAGTTTTCTTTCTATTTCTTTTTTTTTTTTCCTCGAGAGTTGTTGTGCAATGACCGTTTTGTCCTTCGGATGATCATGATAGTTAGGGAAGGGCAGTGTCGATCTATTATCGAATTTCGAGATAAAAAGAAAAAGAAAAAGATAGGAAAATGAGATGAATGCATGAGGGATTCCTTAGGTTTGATTTAGTTGTATACAGAGTATAGAAGGTACAAAGAATTTGGTAAAATGTGTTCTATCGCATCCGTACAGTAGTAATCGATTTTTCGTTTAAAGTCAAGTCTAGTTCTTGTGTCTTTTTTTTCCCTTTTGAACAGATTTGATCCTGTGTATATTGCAAAATTACATTGATGCCCAGAACCAACTAAAGTGAGAACCGAATAGTTCGACTTGGTTTTCGACAATCAAGAACGAATCGAATAATTTTAACTAGATTTTTTACCCTAATAGCAACAACAGCATACCATAGCATAGCATATAGCATTAGCTAATCAGTCATATTAATCATCTTAGAATTTGATTAGTTAGCATAACAGCTTTGGGATATAAAAATATTATAAATTTGTACAACTGGTACTATATTGATATACTATTAACCCCAAGGCTAAATAATACACCAAAAGTGACAAAAAACCGGATCGATTTGCGGTTCTGTTTTGATGGGGGGCAAAATAGACCAACGATTTCTCATCATTTCCTCTTCTTTCCCTGGCATAGAAAAAGATCAAAACTTAATTCAGTTGCGTATATGAAAATACTGCCCCTTGAAGAAATAATATATTTCCATACAAACACATACCGAACTAACATAGTCGTCCATCAACGATTGCTTCCGTTTTTTCAAAGTAGGGGGAGGGCTATCTACAGACTGTCTAGAACCAGCTCGCTTAGATGGCGTCGTATTTTGCTGGAAATAAAATAAATTGTAAGCGAAGATGTTAAATTAAATTTGATCTAGTGGTTTTATTAAGATGGCGTGTTTGTGTGTGTGTGTGTGTGTGTGTAGTAGAGAGTTATTATATACCTTAGCTGCTAATTTTTTCTCTTTACGAGCCTGTCTCTCCCTCTCATCGTACTCCTGGTTTTCCCTCTCGACCAATCGGATAAGTGTATCACATCTCCTTGCAAGTTCTTGAGTCGTACGAGACTTTACAAACCAATCGAACCGAAACAATGGTGAAGTACGAAAGGCAGCCTTCAGCTCGTCCCAGTTACCGTACCCAAGCTTGTGAATCATGCACATCTAAAAAGAAGAGCAATAAACAGCATGATAAATTTTGAGATGACGAAACAAAAAAGATGACAAAGTGATTGTTTGAAGTCTAACCATAAATCGATCGCATTCTTCATTGTACAGCTTCCCTTTGTTCTGGCCATACTGGATCTTCAATTCCAGCCAAGGGTTCTTGTAGCGGTCCAATTTCTTCCCTATTGCTTTCATGATTTCATCTTTCCGTGAGATCCTAGCCTCTCCTCTTTCAATGTTTTTAATGATCCTATCATAATCTGGAAATAACATAATTCATCGTCAGTAAAACGTTTTTTCTAGCATCATAAAACGGAGTCAGCCACACAACTTGAAAGCTTACCGTTCAATTCTTTATATCTATCCTTGAAAATATTTGCATATCTTCCGACCTCTTCCTCTGTTTTCCCTTCCATTTCAGTAGCAATACTCGTAATATCATTTCGACCATACTTCTCACAGGCCCTGATGAAAGCATTGAAGTCTTTTCTGCTCCAGGTTGAAAATCCCTACATACAACAATAATCGAGTTTAGTCAATAAACGAGTTTCAAGTCATGGAGAAGTTTACGAGAACTGGGAACTTACTTGTTCCAGAAGTCCATCTTTCTCTTCCTGCTCTTCGGCAGTCAATGGATCTCCTACATCTGGGTCGTAGATGAAAATGTGTCAAGAAGATCCCCCATTGAAAATTAACAAATTAAAGTAATCATTCTCAAAAAAAAAAAAAAAAAAAAAAAAAAAAAAACGGACCTTCTGCTTCATCCACCTCTATTGTATCTTTGACTTGATTTCTTTGCTGCACTTGCTTAAGTCATAAACAACAAATAAGACACAAGCAGATATAAAAAGGAGTCTGAAGAATAGCTAAGACACTTACCATGAGATATCGCACTTCTTTTTCATACAGCTCACTAAGACGTTGTGTGTTGAAGAACTGAAAATCGTGCCTACAAAAGATAAAATGCATTGAGATGCAGAAACCAGTCTGAATTACTCAACAAATAGAATAAATGAACTGGAGATTCTTACAACTGTGGCATGCGAGGAATTCGAGGCTCTTTGGGTTTTGATGGACCGGCTTGGCGCATTGTTTGCTTGAAATACTCGGACTCAGAGTAACTAACGAGAAGTTAAAAGAAAATATCATTCTGACTGACTAGAAGTGATACTTGAGTACATTAATTTAATAGATTGGAGAAACATACTTGCGCTTCCTTTCTCTTTTTGGCGGTTCAACCCAATTGTCACTGACAATTTTCTTGAAATCAAACTTATCTTCATCCTTTAAAAAACAAGAGATAATAACATGAGTTTAACAAAAGAATAAAGTCACAAAATTAAGCAATATGCACAATAACAATAACTATACCTTTTCATCATCAAAATCATACAGGTCCGCAGCTGCAAAAATTCCAACAGTTTTTAATTAACCTCAGTAACTGAAGTATTGTAGATAAATGAACAGGGCAATAAACCATATAGAATTAGGTCAAGCATAAGAAGCTTACTTTCATCCATTTTAAATTTGATGGCGTCTTCAGTAAATCTTTTCATTTTGGCAGAAAGCTCGGCTGTTGCCTCTTCTCCCTTGGCAATAATTCTGTCTATATCTTCATCTGTGATTGTGCTATCTTTCGAACTGAAAACCATTTCAGCACCAAACCTAACCATTTGCAGCAGCTCATCCTTATTTACAGCTGCATAACAAAATATTAAAAAAAAAAAAATCAAATTCTAGCAAATACACAACTGTGATGTTCTTTTTATCCAAGGAAAGGAGCAAATGTATTAGATAATAAAAACTCACTTTTTGCCTCTGCTAGTCGCCCTTGTTGGATAACCAAGGCATCAAGAGCAAGTTTCTTATAGGCTCTTTCAATCACTTTTTCCTCAATGGTGTACTGGCAAAATCATAGGGAAATCATAAGCACATTATGTCTCTTGAAAACTCATGTTAATGACATTAATATGAGAGCAAGATATACCTCAGTGCAAAACCGGAAGACTTGGACTTCCTTCTTCTGTCCAATCCTATGGGCACGGTCCTGAGCTTGCAAATCAACCTGTGGATTCCTGCAATGCATTGAAACCAGAGTTACAGTTTTCAAATCTAAATAGGTGTCGTTTGATGCATTACCGAACAGTAATTGCAGAACAGGCTCACCAGTCACTGTCATAAAGAATGACAACATCGGCAGTGGCAAGGTTGATACCAAGACCTCCAGCTCTGGTTGACAGTAGAAAGACAAATTTCTCACTTCCTGGCTTGTTGAAGGCCTCAATGGAAGCATCTCGATCTTCCCCACCAGTATTTCCATCAATTCGACAATAATAATATCCACGATACATCAAATAGTCTTCAAGAATGTCCAGCAGCCTTGTCATCTGTTTATGCAATAAAAAGGAATTTGTTATAGGCAATATATGCAAAATAAAGTAAGAAGCAACAGGCAGAAGAATGACAAGGAGGGCAAGAACAACAACCTGCGAAAATATCAGAACCCTGGAATCACGCTGCTTTAACTTTGGAAGCAACTTATCAAGAAGAACCATCTTGCCTGCAATTAATAACAAAATAGAATAAAATGATGTCATGATGAAAAAGTGGCAATCAATAGAGAAAAATACTCATATTTCTCCACATTGATGCTGAAGAGAAACCCTACCAGCATTTTCTACGAGATGTGTTCCAGTGGTATAAGGTGGACCAGGCTCAGCACCTTGAAACAAATATGGATGATTACAACATTTGCGCAGCTGCATGGCTATATTAAGAAGGCGTTTGCGTTCTCCACCGGCATTTACAACCTCAAGATCTTTCTGCAACAATGCCTTGTAGTAATTCTTTTGCATCTGAGACATTCCAACCTTAAGTATAGTCTCCTTCTTGGGAGGCAAACCTTTCTCAACATCAGACTTCAACCTTCGGAGGAGAAAGGGCCGAAGAACCTAGTCGATTACCAATAGAGGAAACACTTCAATCAGCTAAAGAAATCACTCTGAACAAAAGTAGTGCACTTCTAGATATTTAATAGATGTCGAAGAATTATAATTCTTCTGTAGTCGCACAAAAAAAACGCAAACATAATTAATCTGAACATTTCATGCTATTGGCCTTTATAATGATGAGCCCAACCCATGATGCATCACAATACTGCAAGCTTCATGCAGAAAATGATCATTACTTGGGTTTCACATTTGTATCACCATGGACAGATCAATGACATCAAAAAAGCAATTGGGTCAAGAAAAATGAAAAAGATAAGCTGGCATTGCTTTATGATCTGTCAATCTAAACATATCAGCAGCAGCTAGTTGACAAACCTAAATGAAACCTGACACTTGAACATCATTTAGTTGTAATTATTTTTAAGGAATTTAGTGGCAAATTTTAAAAATGCTTTGATGAATTTGTTCTGCAAGTGAAACAATCTTCATTTATTATTAAACAAGAGAATATAATGTTTCACCAGGAGCAACCACATACTGAAAAATGAAATATATATATATATATATATATATATATATATATATATATATATATATATATATATATATATATATATATATATATGTGTTTGTGTGTGTGTCTCTATATATATATACCTTGTGAAGTTGCTGGACAACTTCCTGCTGGTCATTTTCACCGGATATTTGGAACCATTCATCAAAAGTTTCAGCAGAGCTAAATATCTCTGGAAGCAAAAAGTTGAGGAGAGCCCAGAGCTCATGAAGATTATTCTGCAAAAATGATCACCACATTTAAGTCACACAAAATAAATTAATAGATGCTTTAAACTGAAGTAATTTGTACAATGAAAAAGTTGATATCAACATGGTAAAACTGCCGGACAAAAATCAGAAGGCAGTAAAATATAAAACTAATACCTGAAGTGGTGTTCCAGTAATTAGAAGCCGATAATTAGTATTATAAAGCCTCATCGTTTTTGAGAGAAGAGAATTCTCATTCTTTATGCGATGAGCTTCATCAATGATAATATATCGCCAGTTAAATCGGCGCAAGGCAGTCTTCTCTTTGATGGCCATTTCAAAACTTGTTACACAAACATCAAACTTGCCAGCAGCAAGTAATTCCTCACGTACGTATCTCTGGAAAATCAATAATTTGTGAAATCAAAAGAAATAGAAAAAACAAGCCCAAGAAACCAGTATGTAAATTGGTATGCATGCTTACTCTTTCTTCTGGATTGCCAAGAAACTTTACAGCACGCAGTACTGGACAAAATCTTTTGATTTCGTTCATCCAATTTCCAAGTGTTGATTTTGGTGCGACAACCATGTGAGGACCTGTAATCCCTCTGCACTCGTGCAAATAGCCCATCAAAGAGATGGTTTGCAATGTTTTACCAAGACCCTAAAAGGACAACACCATCATCAGTAAAAGAACTTATGCACAAACTGCTTGCAAATATAAGTAACCATTTATACCATTTCATCAGCAAGAATTCCATTGATGCCATTTTCATACAACCGTATTAGCCAATTTAAACCAGCAAGTTGGTAATCCCTCATCTTTCCATTAATACCTACAGGACAAATAAGCAAGTGTAATTAATCTTAAGTCATGTATATGAATAGGAAATCGCTAACCTAATTAACTACTATCTTTGCCTGCAAAGACTTGGAACAAAATTTTAAAAAATATTCAGGAGAATATAAACCAAGAATATGCTATTTTATGTCAGAAACTGCTCTATATCTTGAAACTTTTAAATATTCCAGCACAATTAATCCAAAATAACAACGGCAAAAGAACTTCTTACAAGATGGCTGGGCCACTAGTCTTGTATTTCCGGTGCCAATAAGGGCATCTTCTTCCTCTTTGAGACACTCTTCATCTTCTTCCTCTTCAGTTATCTTAGATGCATGACGACCCCTGCAAAGGAACATCAGAAGATTCCAAAGATGATTCAAAGTCCTACTCTATGCAGACATAACAGAAAAGTTCTTACAAACAAAAGCATTACGCACCTTCCCTTTCCCTTTTTCTGAGGGGCAGACTGATCACCCTTGGCAAAATGAGCAAACAACTCTGTTTGCTGCAATAGATAGTTCAAACGGCCCTTTCCTCTGTTGTTCTGTTACATTTCCAAAACCAGATTTAATGTTAAATCCCAGCAAACAACACAGTAAATATAGTTGACGCCTAATAAAAGTTTATTTCATCACAACTCACCATGTCCGCTTCAATAGCAGCATTCTGAGCATCTAGTATATCTTGTATTTTCTGCTTCTTTATCTTCTCCATTTCTTTAAGCCTGGCCTTTTCGCGCTTTGACACTTCATTTGAAACGACATCATTTTCCTGAAAGCAATTAAAAAACATATAATTATTAACTACTCAATCATTCCAGGCACGTAATGTAACTGATAGTGTAGCCGCGAGTCTCCATATAGCAAAACTCGAAAAACCAAACTACTCTTCAAGTTAATTAGTTCTTTAATAGGACTGCTCAGAACTATAATTTGCAGTTAATAAAGAATATTCTGAATCTCGACAACTACACTGAGAAAAAAAAACTCCAAATTACTCTGCCATCGTTGCCCGTTATTAAGAACCTAACAATCTTACATACTGGGCTGCAAATTAAGTTCGATTTAGTTCCATTCAAATTCAACGCTCAACTTAAACAGCAGCAAACCCTTTTATTGCACGAACAAACACCAGATTCCAATTTTCAAAAAAATATGCAGGATACCAAACCAAACTCAGATCTGTGAAGCTACACTAAACGAACGAACTACGACACAAAAACAAAGTAGTAATTCCACAAAAGCACACCTCATTTTCATCATTTTCCTGAGCGGCAGCATTAGATGTCTCCTCTTCGTCGTCGGAAATTTCGTCGGCGGTCCGAGCTACAGCCTCCAGCTCCTCCTCATCCTCCTCATCGACGACCTGATCCTTGACCGGCTCTTCCTCCGCCGAGGAGCTCGACCCGGAATCGTCGGAATATTCCCTTGCTCGGGAGGGTTTCGCCATGTCGAGGGTTTCGAGATTTTCCCTTCTTCAAAGAGAATTAGAATTTGATTGAAAATATTATTTTAAAAAAAAAATTGTGGAAAATCAAGTGGTGGCAACCGAGTCGAACGAGCGGGTTTTATTTATATACCCGGGCCAAAAATTAGCGGGTCTTCGATTTTTATTGGATACATTTCCCGCCATTAATTTTGAGGGGAAATTGGGTGTTCCCGCCATTGGGTTGGGCTTTTTAAATTGCACTTATGGTTCATAATTTCGGGCCTTTTAGTAATTAAGCCCAAATTCAATGGTCCATAATTTCGGGCCTTTTAGTAATTAAGCCCAAATTCATGGTCCATAATTAAGCCCAAATTCATGGTCCATAATTTGATCACGTGCCGTCCACGTGCAATTTGTTCCAGCGCATATTCCTATCCGCAACCAACTAGAAGTCTTCTTCAATTAAGTAACCTCCTCAATTGACGATCCTACCCCTCAATAATTTCCAAAATACCATCGCACAACAGCGTAGCATTCCCGGTATTATTCATTTTATCCGGGGCAATTCTGGAACCTAATTTTTGTAGAGTCATAAGACATTTCTCTTTCACGCACGGAAATATCCCTACCACAGGTCGTCAAGTCGCATTCGACGTCGTTTTGCTTCATACAAACCCCAGGAAAACTGATTAACTTTTTTTCTTCTTTGAAATTTGGAGCTTCGAATTCAATTACGGAACGTTTAATTAGGTTATTTAAATGTTCATATTTTATTTTATTTTTGGATGATTTTGTTTCAATTGGTTAAGTCCTGCTCATCTTTTTGAGTTTTTTTTTTTATCGATTTTTTTCTGGATTAATTTCCGCAGAGTATGGAAAGAAGGAGAATGTTGATTGTTGTAATTTTCATATGTATGTTCGCCTTCTCATCATGTAGAGGTAATAAACTGCTTTAGCTTTAACTGTATGATCATTTTTTGGAGCATCTGGAGTTTGTTGATAATGGTGATTAAGGTTGTCGGTAATGTAGGAACCGAATAAGCTTCAGTTTGTTAATTGCTTGCTGAATTGACTTTGAAGTATTTAATTGAATTTTTTTTTTTTATTTATTCATTAGCTTTTTTTTCCTTCAACGCATAAATTTGGTGGGGGTGTTTTCGAATCTTTTGATTTGGAAAGTTAGGGCAATAGAAGATTGTTTGAGTTTAATTTTTCGGGGAATGTATAATTTGTTTAGTTATTCGGGGACTGAAACCAAATGTTTCCGTAATGTGTGGTGTTGTGAGGCAAAGTTTGTTAGTTTGATAGTGTTTCTTAAATATGCGGGCTCATCTATTAATGGTTCATATATATTAAATTTTGTTATGTCCTCGTTAATCGATTTTGTCAGTATTGATATTTCCGGTTGCAGAATTGAAGGTGAAGGTGAAGCACCATCAAATTCAGCATCATGAATTGGCGACTTACAATCATACACTTGCAACAATATTGGTGCAATATGCTTCGGCTGTAAGATTCACTTTGAATTACATTCCACGGTTATCACGTTCGCATGCATATACTGTTTGTTTCGGCTTGTATTTTAAGTATAGGATAATTGATAAATAGATAAGTTGGTTTTTTAGTTAATTAGTAAGATCAAATCAGCAAGTAAGAAATCGAGTTAATTTTGGCGTGTGATGTGTTATAATCTATTAGGATAATTGTCACAAAGCAATATTTACGATGATACCATTTTAGTGATTTGATGGTTATTTTTCAACTATTGCATTTGCAGGTATATATGTCAGACTTAACTGAGTTGTTTACATGGACTTGCTCAAGATGTGACGGTCTAACTGAGGTAAATTAGTAGTTAAAGAATGCCCTAGAATAAGTTGACTTTACCTGATATTCTTATCGATTCACTTTTTTCTTGGATTCAGGGCTTTGAAATAATCGAGCTGATTGTTGATGTGAAGCGGTGTCTGCAGGTTTGGAAAATCTTAGCCTCAGCCTACTTTTCTTTGCCAAATTCCTTTAATTGTTTTTAATGTTCATAGATATGTTTCATTTTAATTCTTTTGATTTCTTTCAACATGTTCTATAATTAGATTAATTGTCTGTGTGTGGACAGGGATTTGTTGGTGTTGCAACGGATCTCAATGCCATTGTGATTGCATTTAGAGGAACTCAAGAACGAAGGTTTGCCTTGTCTTATCTCTTGCCTCACGAGTTTTGTATATGCCCTTCCTCTCACGTTTATGTTATGATTATTTTTACTCGCAGTATTCAGAACTGGGTGGAAGATTTGTATTGGAAGCAACTCGATATTGATTATCCTGGAGTTGATGGTGCAATGGTCTGTGCAAAATAAGTTTTATTTTTTCATTTTCTTCTCAAAATATTTTTTACGAGTCTGTGCATTGCGCTTTGTGTTAATCGTAGTCGTCTCTTCATTCAGGTTCATCATGGTTTTTATACTGCTTACCACAACACATCATTAAGAGCTGGAGTTCTAAATGGTATTCAAAAGGCAAAGGAGTTATATGGCGACATTAATATTATGGTCACGGGGCATTCGATGGGAGGGGCTATGGCTGCTTTCTGTGGACTCGATCTCCGTGTAATAGTCCTATCCTTTGCAATGATGAACATTTGCTTGGTGTATTCTTAAATTGTTTTTGGTGTTTGCACTGAAACGTTTGTTCTCTTTTCAGCTCAGTCTCAAAGAGCAAAATGTTCAGGTTATGACATTTGGGCAACCTAGGATTGGAAATTCCGTCTTTGCATCCTACTTTAACCAAGTTGTGCCGGATACGATTCGTGTCACAAATGGACATGATATTGTGCCTCATTTACCCCCATACTATCATTATTTTCCTCAAAAGACGTACCGTCACTTTCCAAGAGAGGTAATGATTTTGGCTGTGTTAGTACAAAATCTAGAATCCATCACTGTTTAATCAATCTAGAGTTTTCTTGGTTGCTTTATACAAGGGGTCGGATGTGGAAATTTGTCAGTGTTATTACCTACTACTATATCTAATATCAATGTATTGCATATTGTGTAGTTATCTTTATCCGAGTTTGCTGACATGACTATTCGGTTATCTTTTTTCTTATGAATACACAATAGATCCCTGAATTGCTCTTATATTAAAAGTAGTAAGACCCAAATATTGTAGGTATGGCTCTACAAAGCTGGATTCGGAAGCTTTATTTACCCAGCCGAGAAGGTTTGTGATGGTTCTGGTGAAGACCCTACTTGTAGCAGGTAAGTGTCAACCTTCTTGATTTTATTTCAAGAAAAATAAACATTCTATTTTATTATGCTTCACACGAAATAGTTTTCCGATTAGCTAATATTCTCCACGTTCCTATAATCACAGATAAAAAAAACGGGTTCAAATTTTAGTCAACAAGTTGCTTATATATGATTGAAATTAAACTGGATGTGGATGTGTATTTCTGAAAACTGTCTCAATTCATTTTCCAGGTCAGTGAGTGGAAACAGTATAAGCGATCACTTGACATATTACGATGTTGAAATGGGATGCGATGTATCAAGCTCGTGCAGAATTGTAATGGATCCTCGTATTGTTGCCTACGGCAAAACAGATTTTGATGGGAATCTCATATTATCAAGGGATCCATCCAAGTATAATTTGGAGCTGAATAAAGATCGAGGAAATAATCAAATCTCGGTTTAGATAACAATTCAGGTAAACTGTGCCAATTTCCTCGAAAGGTTGACCGAGCACAAAAGCAACTTAATTGTTGACTTGCAGGTCTTTAAGTTATAAGTTGTAATATAGCTTATCACTATATCCTGGGATTGGAAAGTATATATTGCATATAGATATTGTTACCTGTGTACATAGAATCCATGCTTTTGTGAATAACAGTACTTTTTTTTCTTTTTGTGAATAATATTTATAATAAACAGTATCATTTTAATGGCCTGCCTGTTTATTTTTTTCTTTTTTTTTTTTTTTTTAAGAACGTCGATCTTAGTTGAAGTTAAAATTTTCGAAATTTGTATTGAAAGATATGTTTGATTTTTATTTTTCTTTTCCGTATCTTTTTTTCTAAATTGTTCAATCCAAACGCAACTTTGAGTTCTCGAAAGAAACTTTCTTCTTTAGAAAATATATAGTACTATTAATAGCGATGATAAAATCATCCAAGTATTGTATTTTCGGACATTTTCATCCAAGAATCGAAAATAAGCCAAATTTTCGTGTTCACGAATCGAAAAATACACGAACTAGAAATAATACGGACTCGATAAACAGACAAAAGACCGAAGCATATATTATATTATAGCATCTAATACATTAGCTTCTGTTTCAATTTGCTTTCACTGCAGTTGTCGAATCAGCATCGACATTCTCCTGCATAATCACAAGGCAAATAAGAACCCTAGTAAGTTGTGATTGAATTACAGAAATGTCGAATAATGAAGCTTTTGAAATCGAAAAATTCTTACATCTTTAGCAGCAGGAGCCTTCTCTTCCACGGAAGATTCTGTTTCCTTAGATGCCGGAACCTTCTCTTCTACCGAAGATTCTGTTTCGTCAGATGCCGGAACCTTCTCCTCTACGGAAGATTCCGTTTCGACAGATGCAAGAACCTTCTCTTCTGCGGAAGATTCCGTCTCGACAGATGCAGGAGCCACCACCTCTTTGCATTCATCCACCTCAATGGCCTCCTCTGAATATTTTTTTTAAATAAATAAATTGAATAAAAGAAATTAATATATCACAATCATAAAAAAAAACATGGGATGAAAACAAACCTTTTTCTTTGTCTGAATTAGCCTCCAAAGCCGATTCATCCATCACCGGAAAATCATGCGAAACCGTATTTTCTTTTACCTCGTGATCGACTCCAACATCATCTTTTTTTTCTCCGTTAATTAATACCTCGTTTTTGCTTTCGTCCACAGCCGCGACAACAGAAGCAACAGCCTCAAATTTCTCCTCATTATTTTCATCTATTTTCTTGATCATATTTCCATCAGCAATTTTTTCGGCTTCCTTTGGTTTTTCTTCGGGAAGAGGTTCGACTCTTCCTTCGTCCTTGTCGATGACGTCAGCATGGATTTCGTTTTCCTTCAGAATTTTATTCTCCCCTGTTTCTTGGACATTTCCATCAATGGTGGTGGTGTTGTTATTTGTTTCGACGCTTTTGCCCTTGCTCTTGCTCTTGACGAGAGTGTTTTCTGTGGCAATAGCGTGTTTTGATTTCCCGCAACCCATTGTTTTTTTTCCCTTCTCGTTTCTCTCTCTAAAACAATGGAAGAGGAGAGAGAGAGAGAGAGAGAGAGAGAGGAACTCTTGAATTCACCACCAAGATGAATGAATGAGAGATGAGAGGAAAATATAATGGACAAGTTCGTTTTATTTCTCTCTTTCAGCTTTTCTTAAATAAATATATTGTTTGGTTTTTAAATGACAAAAGGACTCCGTGTTTTACGGGGGTATTTTGAAGGCTGGACTATTTTTAAAGAAAAAAATATATATATTATTTTATAGGTAAATTACGGCTAACCCCCTGAGGTAAGATCAATTTACGAAAAAGTCCCTAATGTTTGGGTAATTACAACCACCCACCTCAACTATGAATTTCCGTACATGTCCATCCTTGCGGTGTCAAATTTAGTGAAATCTTCTAGATTATGTGGAATGAATTTCAGTCTGTACTTGTTTTACCCTATTCGAGCTCTACATTTTGAAACAAGATGATCATAAGATGTATCTCTTGACTTATAAATATCTTATTGTGGTGCATCAGAAACTGTATTTTTGCAAAAAAAAAAAACCAAGTACAAAGTCAAGAACATTCTATTGAATTTGACATCGTAATGATGGACATGTAAGAAGATTCATAGTTGAGGGGTTGGTTGTAATTACCCAAACAAGATGGATTACTTCATAATTTGACATTACCTCAGGGGTGTGACCGTAATTTACCCCTATTTTTATGCACTTCAATAAATTTTATTATTACTTTCTTATTTTGTATCATCGAAATTTTTAGTTTTTATATTTAATTCAGTAAATTTATTTATTTATAAATAATAAATAAATGGTGCAGGCGCATATGGTCTTCTTTATGTCTTGAGCTTTGAGTACAAACTAAAACAAAGTGCCTAATTATATATTAAATTATTAAATATGATATAATTTACACTTTGTATTAGTGCTTTTGCAGGCTGTTTCACAATACAAAGATAGATGATACCAAAGTTTGTGGCTTCCCTAATTAACAGGACTTTTTTAATGGTTAATTTAATAAATATATTTTTTAATTTTAATTTTAATTTTAATTTATTATTATAGTAGTATTTATTTATTTATTATTATAGTACTTATACAGTTATACTATCAATTGGATTAGGCCCAGCCCAGCCCAGCCCAGCCCAGCCCAGCTACGAATTTCAAAGTTCAATTTTTTGGGCTCATGGGCTTGGTTGTGGATACCCAAAACAATATTACTTATAATGGCCACATTTCATTAAATAATAATAATTTTCAGATTTTTTTTTTATTATGTAGAGAATATGGTACAAATTCAATTTATTATGAAGCAAAAATTCATACTATTTAATTAAAATTGGTTCATCACTAACTCCAAGAGAAACATAATGCAGAGCAATTTGTGCAAGTTGGTCGTCCCATTTCTGTACACATCACAACTGTTGACATTCTGCCAATAATTTTATTTGTTTTTAACAAAATAATATATATATATATATATATATATATTTACTACTTTTTTTTTTAATTCGAAGGATATTAAGTATAAAAGTTACTTTTTTTTTTTAATTCGAAGGATATTAAGTATAAAAGTTAAAACGTAACTACGTAAGTTGCATGTTAATTGAAAATTTGCCAAAGGTTCTTTGAGTAAACTCACAAGTTTCTCGAGTAACAAACAAGCTGAGTCGACTCGTGAATTAATTAGATGAGCCAGCTCGATCAAAACTCGAGCTTTTTGGAAATCCCGACTTGTGATTCTAATCTCATAAGAGGTTGAGCTCGAGACCATTCTTGAGCCACTTTTTTTTATAATTATAATACAAATAATTTTATTATAATAATAAAGTATTAATATAAAAGAAATATTAATACAAAAAAAATCGTTGAGCTCGAGCTTGAAGAAATCGACTCCAACTCGAGCTGGAGTTTGATAAACTCGATTCGAGCTACGAAAACTAAAGCTTGATGAATTTGAGCTGAAGCTCGTGAAATTCAAATATAGCTCGCCAAAGTCAAACAAATTTAGCTCGAGCTCAGCTCGTTTATACCTCGAACACCAAATTACCCAATTGGATCAATCGCGTATGGAAACGAGTTTCCAACCAATGAGAGCTCTTGATTATGACACCTATTAACAAAAATCACATGGCTTCACAAAATTCTTCCAACTCTTCTTTTTAACTGTAAAAAAAAAAGAAAGCATGAAATCGAGACAGTTAAAACAATGATTTTTGAATGGGGATTCCGATTGGCGGAAGTGTGCGGTGCCTGCCCACCTTTGTCGGGCCATCACGCCACCACCTTATCCTCTTTCCATAAATATTCATAAACAAATCAATCCTCTATTTCTTTCCATATATAGTAAATTATAAATTATAGAATCCATTAAATGCGTGGGAGATGTAGGGGTGTCAGCGCCCACTTGACAAAGGTTGGCCCCTCTTCATTCTTGATTTTTGATTTTTGATTTTCTCTCTAAGCTTTTGGGCCAACCCCCAATCTTCTCCTCTCTGTCGTAATTTTGGGGGCGAAAATCTTGAAAATGCTAATGGAAGCCCTCTCCAATGATCGTCTTACCTTCGGGAAGATGGGTTTTGGGTATGTTTGTTTCTTCAAATCTGTGTTTTTTGGTTGCCGCTTATGTGTTTGTTGAATTGCTTGTGAGAACTTTATATGTATTTGTGTATCTGGGCAGAATGCTATGTGATTTTTTTGGTTGACGCTTATGTGTTTGTGAATTGCCTGTGAGAACTTTATATGTATTTGTGTGTCTGGGCAGAATCCTATGTGATTTTTTCTGATAGGAGAAAGTTTTATTTTGCAATATTGATGTTCTGATTCGTAATTATATGTTTCCTTGTCTGTGAAAAGTGAAGAATTTCATAGTGTAACTATATTGAACTTTTGTTCATGTGTTGGCGGCAAATTTTTCAGTATTTTAAAATCTGGCTTGATCTTGTTCTGATAATTCTCTTCGATTTTCTGTTGAGATCATGTCAAGAAGGATTCTATTCAAATATTTTTACCATTTTTTAAAAATCAGATTCTAACAGCATATAATAGAAGATCCTAATAATGAAATCTTCGATTCGATAAAAATTGATATAGATGCAAGCATTACAGAAGGAGATGCAAGGTTCGAGCCCCATGCTGTAACGAAGTCTACGATTGCCGCCACTGTCACAATGAATCCGTGGTACTTTAAACACTTAATTTCATCATGTACTTTTTTTTTTTTAATTTTAAACGTTGGATCTATTTTCTAACACAAATCTTCGACTTTGTTTAAAATAAACAGAGCACTTGGCGTAACATTCACGATCGGCATGATTTAGTCCGTAGCGATGTGAAAAACGTATGTATGTCTCTTAAAGAAATGTACTTTTCCTTCTTTCCACACTTATTTACTTTATATATTATTAGTCCATTCTTATTATTCTTTTTTCGAATTAAATCGGAAAAAAATAAAATAAAGAAATGTTACTTATATTGCAGGTCATTTGTTCTGTTTGCGACACCGAGCAACCCGTATGTCTCAATTTTTTTTTTTAACTTATGGTTTATATTAATTATTAAGTGGTTCATTTCTAATCTATATATTCTCTCTTCATTCAGGTTGCTCGTGTTTGTACAAACTGCGGCGTCAATATGGGAGAATACTTTTGCGCTGTCTGCAAATTCTACGACGATGATGTAATTTATCTTTCTGGTTATCAGAAATTAGCTTATGGAAAAGCAAAAAAATCTTCAATATATCTTTTCGCCATTATCCTAATCTTTTAATGAACTCGAACCATATAAATCTCTATTCTTTAATTATATCGCAATGCTAATCGGGATTCTTGATTGGTGCAGATTGATAAAGGACAGTTTCATTGCGATGACTGTGGCATCTGCAGGTTGGCGTCGAATTATGATATACATATTTACGAATTACGCCCGTAATTATGTTTCTCATTTTTTTATTAATTTTTTTTTTCGTTTAGGACTGGAGGTCGTGAGAACTTCTTCCACTGCAAGAAGTGCGGTATGCAAATACTCTTTTTTAAGATCCATTTTCGTTAATATGTTGCTTAGCATCTTATATATTTAATTTTCGTTTAATTTCTTCTAATTTTCTCGATCACGTTTCTGCTAATCGAGCACAGGCTCTTGCTATTCAATTGGTTTGAGAAACAATCACCTGTGTGTGGAGAATTCCATGCGGCATCACTGTCCTATTTGTTACGAGGTTTCCCTCCTAACTCTTCTGTACTTTTTCCGTACTATTTATTTTAATGTATATATATTTTTTATTTTACTGTTGTGCAATAATAATGTCGAGTTTTTGCATTTTTACAGTATCTATTCGACTCTCTGAAAGACACAACGGTTATGAAATGTGGACACACCATGCATTGTGAATGTTATCACGAGCTGATAAAGCGTGAGAAGTAATGAATCGTGTTATTTCTCGAGTGTTATTTTTTGCTTCATGATATTGTTTCATTACAACTAAAAAACGAAGTTTGATTTCGGCGAGGTTTTGCAGGTACTGTTGTCCAATATGCTCAAAGTCGATCATGGACATGTCCAGAACCTGGAAAAGAATCGACGAGGAAGTAGGTTTTCTTTCTACTTTCACCTTATTTCGACTTATTTTGATTTAAAGTTTTTGCTCCGTAGGTGTGTGTGTGTGTGTGTGTGTGTGTGTGTGTGTGTGTGTGTGTGTGTGTGTGTGTGTGTGTGTGTGTGTGTGTGTGTGTGGATGTTATGTCATACCTTGTGTTTGAATCGTTAGATGGAAGCATATATTTGATAACGTTAGGGGTGAAAATTGAACGAATCGGATCGGAATTAGCACTTTCGGAAAATAAAATCCATTTTTTTTCATTAGTGATAAACTAATTCCGATTACGCTCCAAAAAATGAACGGAAATTCGGAAATCGAAAATTTTGCGATAGGAGTAGGTGGAATTTCCAATTTTTTTAATCACTTATAATATGAAAGACAAAATAAAATCGATATTATAAGTGCAATTGAATTAATTTGGAATTCGTGGAAATTAAAATCGAATCGGAGATCGGAATCTAATACATATTTCCAATTTGTTTCCAAAAAAAGATCGGAAAAATTGGAAACCGAAAAAATCGGAATCGGAATGAAAACGTTGTTCCGAAATCGAAGTTCAGATCGGAATCCGGAAATTCCCTTCCAATTTACGTTTTCTCATGTCCGATTTTAGCATCATCAATGATTTGATTAACATGGAAATGTTTTCTTACATACAGATTGAATCAACAGTCATGCCAGAGGAATACAGATATAAAAAGGTGCTTTCTTTACAACCTTTGCTCTGTTCTAAATTCTTAAATTTAATGCAATTTTCTCATTTATTCATTATAAAATAAAGCCCGATTTTTTTTTTTCTTTCGTCATTTTCAGGTGTGGATTCTGTGCAACGACTGTAACGACACTACCGAAGTATACTTCCACATAATTGGTCAGAAATGCAGTCACTGTGAATCGTATAATACTCGAACAATCGCCCCACCAGTTCTTCCTCAATGATTTTTTTTTTGGCCACAATTTATCAGTGTTTGGTGCACCAGAAAATCTGGTGCCACAAGCCCGAAACTACGATCGTCGATTTCTTATCTTCTCTATTTTAATCCATTGGATTATTATTATTACAATTTAAAAGCAGTGAAATGTTATAAATTGTGGCTTTGAAATTCCTCTTAGGGGAGAACATTGAATGATTGATGAACCTAACTTATTTGTTGTGTTATTTTGTGCTATAAGTGGGACACTTTCAAAATTCCTTCAATTTTTTTTTTTGTTTTTTTTATTTACGATTTTATGTTTAGTTTCTACCAAGAATTACATGAGGAAAAGTTAGAAAAAATAAAATATTTTTTTTATTACAGTAGCTGTCCTAACTTGGTACTCTGACTTGTAGCTTGTGGAATAACTTGGGAATGCATCATTACTAAATGGCCTGCTGATGCTGCTTTCCACCTAACAAATTGAAAATAGTACTACAATTAACAAAACTAAATTAATTGATTAATTTTTTTTTTTTTTTTTTTTTTTTTTTTTTTTTTGGTATTTTTTAAAATTTTCCAATGCATTAGATTTGTATTTAAATTGGTCCATCCAAAGTATTCTTCACATATATCTTCTTCTTCTTCTTCTTGAGAGATTGGTTGAGTATCAATTCATATCTATGGAGAAAAATCAAGAAAAGAAATTTACAATACTTATGTTTCCATGGTTAGCTCATGGACACATAAATCCATTTCTTGAACTAGCCAAAAGGCTCTCAAAAACAAGAAACTTCAACATCAACTTATGCTCCACACCCGTAAATCTCGATTCAATCAAAACGAACATCGAAAACGATGATGGATCAATAACACTAGTAAAACTCCACATGCCATCTTCACCGCAACTACCCCCACAACTACACACAACAAAAAATTTGCCCTCGGATCTTCTCCCAACCCTCATGCATGCATTTCAAGATTCGAGCTCGAGCTTCTCCGATATAATGGACTCCGTGGAACCGGACCTTCTTATATACGATTTCTTCCAACCGTGGGCCCCGAAGCTCGCTTCATCGAAAGGTATACCTTGTGTTTATTTCTCAACTTCTGGTGCAGCACCTTGTTCTTATTACCACCATATCTATTCAACGGGAACCGGCTCCACTTTCCCTTACAAGGCTCTATGTATACCAGACGAAGAAATAGTCAAACTGCGTAATAAAATTGCTCCGAACATTAAAGATGCAAATAATAATAAAGATTTTGCATTTGGGAACTTTTCGATGTCTAGTGAGATTGTATTAGTGAAGAGCTGCAGAGAGATTGAGGAGAAGTACATTGATTATCTTTCATTTTTGTGCAAGAAGAAGATAGTTCCAACTGGTCCACTTCATGCATGTAATAATAGTGAATGTAATGATGATGATGATGATGAGATTATGAAATGGCTAGGTGGAAAAAGTAGGGGTTCCACTATATACATTTCATTTGGGAGTGAGATCTTTTTGTCAAAGGAGCAAATAGCAGAAATAGCAAAAGGGCTGCAGCTTTGTTGTGTTAGTTTTATATGGGTGGTTAGATCTCCCGTTGGAGCGAAAGAAACGAGCATAGAAGACGAAGGGGAATGGCCGGTGGGGTTTCTTGAAACGGCGAAGGAGAGGGGTATTTTGGTCAATAAATGGGCGCCGCAGGGTAAGATATTAAGGCATCCTAGTATCGGTGGTTTTGTGAGCCATTGTGGGTGGAGTTCCGTTATGGAGAGTTTGTATTACGGTGTTCCGATTATAGCCATGCCGATGAGAGCGGAGCAGCCGATAAATGCTCAGCTGGTGGTGGAGGGCGGTGTTGGGGTGGAAGTCGACAAAGGTGGTGGCGAAAATGGAGATTATGTGGGGATAGAAATGGCGAAAGCCGTAAATAAAGTGATTTCGGAGGGCGATATCGGTGATGGGTTAAGGGAGAGAGCTAAGAGAATGGGTGAGAAGATGAAGGAGAAGGAAGATGAAGAGATGAATGTAGTGGCAGAGGAGTTGTTGAGGATTTGTTGCATGAAGAAAAACAAGAACCAAGAATGAATTGATTTGTAATTTGTTGAATGTTTGTTTGCCACTATTTCAATGTTTAACCTTAAGAACAATCAAGAATTTCAAATTTGAAAGGTCAAATGAAGTGGGATACTTTGCTTTATTGAAATTGACCCCTTCACCAAAAACATATCCAAACCAAAGAGAAAACAATCATCAATAATAGAGCTATCTCAAAGAGAAGAAGCTTCATCAATGGAGAAAGATGAAACTAAATTCACCATTTTAATGTTTCCATGGTTGGCATATTCACATGTATTCCCCTTCTTTGAACTAGCCAAAAGCCTCTCAAAGAGAAGAACCTTCCACATATACTTTTGTTCCTCTGCTGCAAACCTTGGATCAATCGAAAACAACCTTAATAATCACAAACTTCGATGCAACGACGACGATGACGTGTCGATAGATCTAGTGGAACTCCAACTGCCACCCTCCCCACAACTCCCTCCACATTTCCACACAACCAAGAATTTGCCACCAAATCTTGTGCCAATCCTCTTGCAAACCTTTCAAGAATCGAGTTCGAGTTTCTCCCGAATCTTGATCGATTTAAAACCCGATTTGCTGATTTACGATTTCTTCCAACCATGGGCAGCCAAACAGGCCTTATCCCTATCTATACCATCCATTTACTTTGCTACTGCAGGGGCAGCACCTTTTTCATACTTCCACCATCTCCACACACATGGGAGTGCCTCCACTTTCCCTTATCAGGAAATTTACCTTTCGGATCGCGAAAAAGCCGATCTAAACGCTGTGGTTGCGCCGGAAATAAAAGATGCAGATCAAGATTTTGCGTTTGGAAACTTCAAACTATCTTGTGACATTGTTTTGATCAAGAGCTCAAAAGGGCTCGAACAAAAGTACATCGATTATCTTTCGGTGCTTTGCCGCAAGAAAGTGGTGCCCACAGGTCCATTAGTTCAAGAATCTAACATCAAAGATGATGATGATGATGAATCAGAAGTAATCATGCAGTGGCTAAGTGAGAAAGACCGGTTTTCGACTGTGCTCATTTGCTTTGGGAGTGAGCATTTATTGCCAAAGGAGCAGATAGTGGAGATAGCAAAAGGGTTGGAGCAATGCTGCACAAACTTCATATGGATCGTTCGATTTATTATGGACGAAAATGCCCTTCGCTTGGAAGATGAATTACCAGAAGGGTTTCTTGAAAGGGTGGAGGGAAGAGGCCTAGTTGTGCAGAAATGGGCACCGCAAGCTAAGATTTTATCGCATCCTAGTATCGGTGGTTTCGTGAGTCATTGTGGATGGAGTTCTATAATGGAAAGCTTGTACTTTGGCGTTCCCATTATAGCCTTGCCGATCAAATTTGATCAGCCGATAAACGGTAGATTGGTGGTGGAGGCTGGCTGTGGAGTGGAGATTGGAAGGGGCGAAAACGGAATTTGTTCTGCAGAAGAGGTGGCTAAAGCAATCAAGAAGGTGATTATGGAGGATAGTGGAGAAGGGCTTATTAGGTACAATGCTCGAAATTTGGGTGAGAAAATGAAAACGGAAAAGGAAATAGCGGCAAATGAAGTAGCAGAGGAGTTGTTGTTGATCTGCAAGAAGAGTAAGCAGCATGCAGATAAAATCTAAGCCGTCCATCAACAATAATCCAACGATAAAGGTTCTTCTTTCTCGTCCTTTTGCTTTTAAACCGTCTAAACTTTTGATGTATCGAACATTTGATGCATGAATCCTATGTATTTTGCTCTAGCTTTCTCCATATCTGTGATTTTTAGGGTTAAATTTCTTGCATTTGGTAAGAAGACAAAACTAGACTTGTATTACGTGTCGCCCGAATAAGACGAGGAAACAACGAATTGTCACGAGCAAATTAGCTACTAATTCAAACCTCCATTCCGTTGATAATTCCAAGAATTATCAATCAGTATATCATATAAACTAATATTTATTTATTCCCTTCTAATGATGCCACCAAGAAGTTATTATCTTCTATAAGATAATAACAAATCCAGCCGAACGATACATATTCCCTCTTCGTCTTTCCTTACCGTTCGTAACCTTAAAAACAACGAAGGGGGACAGTGTTTCTTCATAGTATCTCTCACTAGGCAAAAGGGAATCCATTAATGGAGTCTAATTTCAACATCCTTATGTTTCCATGGTTGGCTCATGGACATGTATACCCCTATCTTGAACTAGCCAAGAATCTCTCCACCAAAAACTTCAACATTTTCTTCTGTTCCACATCCATCATTCTTAGTTCAATTAAAGAAACTCTCGATCGAAATAGCCCATGTGGCATTTCAATCAATCTAGTCGAACTCCATTTACCATCATCGCCCGATCTTCCTCAAAACTACCATACGACCAAAAACTTGCCACCTCATCTCATGCCTAAACTCTTCGATTCATTTCAGAACTCAAACTCAAGTTTCTCCTCCATAATAAGCTCCTTAAAGCCCGATATGCTGATATACGACGTTTTCCAACCGTGGGCGGCCAAGATCGCCACGTCACTAAGCATCCCAGCCGTCCATTTTGCCACCTCGGGAGCCACAGCATACTCGTTTTACCATCACCACTTCATACACAAGAACTCCCCCTTTCCTTATGATGGGATTTATCTTCGAGACTACGAAAGAAAGGCTCTGCAGAGTATGGTTCTCTCCAGGGATAAAAACGACCAAGATTTCGCATTCGGCCACTTCAGCATGTCTTGTGAGATTGTTCTGATGAAGACTTGCAATGGGCTCGAAGGGAAGTACTTAGACTACTTATCTGTCTTGTGCAAGAAAAAAATAGTTCCTGTTGGTCCACTTGTCACACAAGCTGATGAGAGTGATGAAAATCATTCAGACATAATGAAATGGTTAAGTACGAAGGATCGTTTTTCGACTGTTTTCATTTCATTCGGAAGTGAAAACTACTTGTCCAAAGATCAAATGGGAGAGATAGCCAAAGGGTTAGAGTTTTCCAATGTTAACTTTATATGGGTTGTAAGATTTCCTCATGGAGAGAGAGTTAGCATAGAAGAAGCACTCCCGAAGGGGTTTCTTGACAGGGTGAAACAGAGGGGAATGATTGTGCAGGGATGGGCACCACAGGCTAAAATTCTAGGACATCCTAGTATCGGTGCTTTTGTGAGCCACTGTGGAATGAGTTCGACTATTGAAAGCGTTTATTTCGGCGTACCTGTAATAGCCGTGCCATTGAAACTCGATCAGCCGTTGAATGCTAGGCTAGTGGTGGAGGCTGGTATCGGTGTGGAGGTGGTACGAGATGCGAATGGACATTTAAGCAGCGACGAGATTTTCAATGCAATAAATACTGCAATCTTCGATAAAACAGGGGAAGTAATGCGGCTTAAAGCTGCACAAATGAGTGAGATGATGAAAAGCGAAGAAGCATACGCAATGAACGAAACAGCAGAGCAGCTAAGAAGAATTTGTATGGAGCATAAACATCATATCGAAGAAGTGAACATACATTAGCTGCAAACTATTTTTATTTACCAAAAACGAGCAAATTACGCTTATCTTCACGTGTAAAACTCGATGTCAATCAAAAAACTCAATATTATGTTCTCCCTTCCACAAAAAAATGCACCACTTATCAAACAGCAATGAAACAAAACTCCCATCTATAATCAATATGTTATATCTATAAATATCTATAAAGATAATATTTCTTCCCTTATCTTGTCAATAGTACTACTACCTCCACCTTTTCCCAGTGTTATCGTGGCTGTGAAAGTTAGTTGCCGCTGCTCATTAACACATATTCTTGCCTCCAAAACCCGAGCCCGATGCTTCTCGATTACCTTTACTATCTTGAGCGCCGAACCACGTCTAGACGGAAGTTGAACGGAGAGGAATGTGGACTCACTCGAGACTGCGACTTTCACAGATGAATTCTGATTCGTACATTTTAGGAGAACAGGACTTTCCATCATTGGCTCTTCGAGCTGAAATTGCTTTAGGCCCTCCAACCTCTTCGCCTCTTCTTCGAGGTGTTTAATGTAGTTCACCGCCTCGTTTATAACCGTCTCTCTTGTGGGCTGCCTTGTTTGGAAACAGTTACAGATACAAAACAGAGTTAGTCCCTTTCAAACAAAATTTCCCACTTAACAAAAGAACACACAACCACAATTCAGTCAAGAGATCGACCGCATATAGATACAAATGTATAAGCTCTCATATTGATTTACGTGCCTATTTGCGTCGATACATATACATATATATCGATTGTCGACGAAGAAAAACACACATGATCTCATATGAATAGACCAATTCAAACTGGAGAAGCTATCATAACTTATCCATCAGTTATTACACACCTAATCACACAGCTAGGTTTCACAAGTAGCTAAAATCTGCATCAAACACTCATCAAAATCCACGTACATATATTAATCACAACAATCAAATTATGTGATATGCAACAAAATTAATTTAAAATCCGATCAATCAGTCATACAGAGAAAATTAAGATTAATTACAGTAATTGAAATAAAGCAAAAAAAAAATGGGGGAAAAAGGTGACAACAAATCGACCTTATAATTGTTGGAGAGATTAGGCACCATGGATGTAAGAACAGAGAAGTTGCCGCTAAGCTTCTCTCTTCGTTTCCGTTCCTTGAGCGAATTTTCGTCGCACGAATCTTCATTCCTCTGCCTTTTTGTCCCCGATTTTTGATCAGCGACGGAAATTCCCGACGAAGGAGAAAAGAAGGACAATGGCGGAATTACAGAGTCGTAATAATCCTCCATGATTCCTAGAAGCAGCTTCCTTATTTCTTCCTCTTCTTCGATTTCCTGCTGCTTCGACAACATCTCTTTCCCTAAATCCCTCATTTCGATTTCGATTCTCGAATTAAATTACTTTTACACCTTCTCAGCGTGTATGACGAAATCGTTTTCTCTGTGTATGCATGCTCTTATATATACACATATATATACGTATATATGTATGTATACACTCCACGCACAATTGTGTGTGTGTGTGCGTGTGAGTGTGAGTGAGAAGATTTTGTTGTTGTTTGGGGTAGTTTTTCAGCACGGAAGCTGTTAGAATATTTGCGTAGACATATTCTGTGTGTGTGTGTGTGTGAGAGAGAGAGAGAGAGAAGAGAGAGAGAGAGAGAGAGAGAGAGGGTCCATGTGCGGGACTGCAAAATGCATCGAGTATGAAAGTGATTTTTCCTGATTTTATTTAATTTAGTAATATTCTACATCGCGGGTGCATGAGTAAGATGATCCTTAGATTAATCTGGACCGTCAGATCCATTCCATCACTTCATCGACTGATATCACAGGTGACGTTTGTGGATCAGAAACCGTCAATTTCGTTGACCTTTTGTTGTCCTATTTGATTTTGACTTTCTATAATTATGTAGCGGATGAGAGCTTAAAAACTTGGGGTAGAAGAAAGAATACTACAATAATCTTATTCCATATAAACACACAATTAAATTTCAGATTAAAATATTTTGTGTGACTAAAATAAAATTATTATGAATTGTATTCCCCTTAGTTTTATTTTCAGTTGAATATTAATTATTGTATTTTACAAAAAAAAAATATTTTTATTCTGATTTAAGGTATATTTTACTTCTGACTTTTAAATAATCAATCCTATTTATCTACTAACTACAAAACCAAATAAGAACACTAATCATCATGAAAAGGGCTTCTCTTCCTTGAAGCATTCCTGCATGTACCTTGAGCAACAATGCATGTAACAATCCAAGTCTCACAGCCTGTTGTTGCAAAGACAATTTAATTTTCACCACAGTTAGTTAAGAAAAACTCGATAAAACGCAATAAATAATGATTCGGGACTAACCTTAAACAATTAAACCTAGAATTGGTAATCGCTTCTTCGATATCTTTAGCATATTTTTTTGATGCATCTACACCGTTGATTTCCTCACAAAATCCGAGGACTTCTTTCACATCGATCTGTTCCTCACGAATCTGTGTGGTTTCTTTAATCAGTACATCATCGAATATTACAAAAACCCGATGATTTATTATACGTATTAGATTTAACATGTAATGCACTTGGTTGAATAGTTACTCAAGAACTTACCGAGATGATGTAATAGTATCACGAACTCGATCTTTTACGAATTCCACGTAAACCTAAAGCAGAGTAAGTAAGTCCATCATGAATGAAAAAAACCGATTTATATACAAAACAGCAGCAGAATGAAGAAAAAAACCGAACGGAACGAAACATTAAAATTTTCGGAGAAATTTATCATGAGCCAGATTAAAGAATATCGAGTGGCCGGTTTCTACAAGTCAACGCAGTTTTCCTACTCGGTATATAGTAAGAATACCGAGAGCCACTTTGTCATAGTTTTGTGATTTCTCCATCTTCTCAAGAATTCTCTCAACGGATTTTCGTTCGATTTTTCCCTCAAACAAGGCAATACCTGGATCATGTATAATATTTGCTATATCATAACGATGCAGGATCGTAAATTTATCTTCTACGCACTAAAAATATCAAATATTTATACACGGGGACCAAATGTAAAACCAGTCCAAACTCGAGTGACAAAAACTATAATTTTCCCATTAATCAAATATTTCAACACCTAACTTAAAAAACAGCCAATTAATATTTATATATTTATTTATACATGTATATATATTAAATGATGTGCATCAATAGAGGCATATAAATAGCATATATTCGTACAATTTTCACAATTATGTGCACACAAAGATAGCCATAATATTAAACCATCAATTACAACCCTAAAATTAGCCTTATTCCCTTTGATAAAAGCAACAAAAATATAATATATTTACATACAAAATTATATGCCATGAAATACACCATCAAAGGACCCTTCTTCCAGTTGATAATAAATCGAATGTGTATGTATATGTCGATCGGAAGAAGGGTTCTTCGATGATGTATGTATATATATGGCTGTATGGTAGGCGGCGCCGCGGCGGCGGCACCACCGCAACCAGCGGCGGTGTTAGTGGCAGGGGAGAAGCAGAACAATTGAACTACTCCCTCCGTCCCAATTTAAATGACGTTTTGGGTTGTTTCACACATATTAAGAAAATCAATAAATGTGTATAGATTATAGTAAAAAACATAGGAAATTACTAATATATCCTTGACATTAATTGTTTTACAACTTAACTAATTAGGAATGATAAAAGGGTAAAATTGAAAATAATGCAATTAATGATGCATTGAAAATCTAAAATGACAAATAATTTGGGACAAGAAAAACTCTCTAAAAAGACATATAATATGGGACAGAGGGAGTAGCTCGGTAAGTGCTGATAGCTAACATATTAATTATTAATATACACGGAAACTTCTATACACATACGTTTCCATGTTTCGAAAACCGAAACACCATGTCGGAAATGTTTTGGGGTCATTTATGTAAATATTTAAAAGTTTCAGGGATATTTTTGGTAGAAAAAAAAAAAATAGAAACGCGTTTCGGCTAAAAGAAAATCAGAAACCTGTTTTAAATAAAGGCTAGGAATTGCCTACATAGAGATAAATCTTAAATCTTGTGCCTCGTTTTCATTTTTAGTGGTGTTTTAATATTTTTAGTAGATGCTACCTAAATAAATTATATGCCTCAAATGTAATTTGTCGAATGATAATCCGGATTGAAACTTGTAAATTCTATATAACACAAATATGTAATTAAGGATAGGTATATACGTTAAATGTTTTATAAATATATATATATATTTTAGAATTATGGATGTACCCTATATTTTAATATTTACACGCTTCCCCACATTCCTTCCCGTATCCAACTTTTTGAAAATGAGATTTTCCCATTTCCATTTCACCGTTTCGCCATGTCCGTGCCATGTAGTTGGTAATAGAAAAAATATGTAGTGAATAAGTAATTATAGAATTACTAAACATAAATGGAAAATTTAAAAAAGTGAAATATGTTGTTGATTCCATTAAAAACCAAAAAGTTAAAATAAATAAAATAAAACTATAAAATCTTGATTTTGGGTTTTCCACCAAAGTCCAAAAGTTAAGAAACACTGGACCCAATTAAGATTACCTAATTGGATTGGGCTTATAAGCTAGTCTTAGTGCTTCTTGTGGAGGTTCCACGTGGCAAGCGCCACCAACAAGAAGAACACCAAGGCCGCCACGCCGGAGAGGCCGATGGCAGCTGCCGCCTGGTGGCAGAATTTTCCGAACACGTTGCAAACTTTCTTCCATTGCACGTGCGAGTTCCCTTCGAACCCCATAACTCCGATGGAGGCGGCGGCCCCCACGCCGGAAAATAGTAGCGCCACCATTACTAGGTCAAAGAGGACTACAATCATGGTTATACCCTTTTTGCCACTTCTATTTGCTAGTGTTAGGGCTAATGAGATTGCTGCATGAGCACATGCTATTGCATTTGCCACCACAAAAAACCTGAAAATTATAAGATAATTTTTATATACAAAATAAGTAATTAGGAATAATTACCTTATAAAAGTCAACTTATAGCTTAATCAACTTGTACTTAAACTAAATGATAGCTAATGTGTGTATTTCAGTTGTGTACAGATCAACGGTTAAAAATCACCTGATGTATGTATTTCGTTAGATGTAAGACTCGATCATTATGTTTTAAAATCTTTCCAGGATCCAATTAGACAGTGGCACCCTCTATTTATTTTGGGCTTTTGGGCATTATTGGGATTTTTTTTGGGCTCATTAACTAACTAGACTAGAATTTTCAAATCTTAGCTGCCCAATTGTAATTTTTCATTTCTCAAGAAATTATTATTAAAACAATTTTTCAATCTATAATTTTCTTTGTATTAGAGTTAAATCTCTATTAATTAATAGAGTCGGGACAAATAAAAATTTATTAATTTAGCAAAAAATCAATTATCGAGCTAATAATATAGTACATTTTGACCGAATCAGAACTGAAAAAAATAATTATTTAAGCGAGATTATTATTAATTTATCGAGATTCTAGTGTAACTAATAAGTGGATATTCGAGTTTTGTCAAGCAAATAATACCACGTGCTAGCAAAATTTGTATGAATAACCCATCCCACATCGATCTATCTATAACTACGTGTGACATGATCTACTTAATAATAATATATAATTATAAGTTTTAATCCAGTTTGTATATAATAATAATAATAATAATAATAATAATAATAATAATAATAATAATAATAATAATAATTATTATTATTATTAGTTTGTAACACGGTTTAAACAGCACAAATCAAAGAAATTATATATTATATTTTAAAACGAGTATATACTTACACAAAAGCAGACAAGTGGTGCCACTTAGCCGTGACCGGAACGTTGACCGGCGGGAGGGTGGGGACAAGAGTCACCGCCACCGTGGTATTCTGCTTGTCGACGCCAAGAACCACCGCCGCCGTCAGAGTGAGTGCTAGTGCCAAGAACCTCAAAACGACGTCGCAGCCCCTCATTTTCCTCCTGTTTGCCACGCCGCCACTCTCAACTCCTCCATTGCTGTAACTGCCCTTATATTGGGATTCCATTTTCTCTTCTTCTTTTTTCCTGCCTAATTCTGGTACTTAATTAATGTACTGAACTAATTAATTATATATATATATGTATGTATCTATATATATAATATGCAAGCAAGAGAAAATTTAAAGCTAGCTAGGGTTTAATTTAGATAAAGTTGAATGAGGTGTGGGGAAGAATGTGTGAAAGTTTGGAGTGAGTTTTATAGAGGTGTGAAACCGAGTACCTTCATTTCTTTTTCTATGTTAGGATATGAGAGAGAGAGAGAGAGAGAGAGAGAGAGAGAGAGAGAGAGAGTAAACGAATCGAGCTTAGTGAAACACGTGTTTGTTCGAGTTTATTTAATTTTTTAACGAACTTTCTTAATTATGTGGAGCTTGTTTTGATAAATAAGCAATCGAGTCGAATTCGAACTGAACTTCAAATTTAATTGAGCTGAAGATGACTAAAGCTCAATCGAGTAGCTTATATTTTTTACATATATATCTTATCATCTCTTTTTTTAACGCGCTCGAGTCAAACTGTATTGATAGATTAGCGAATGAAAACATCGAACAAGCTTTTAACGAGCAATAATGAATGAATTATTGAATAAATTGGTTTGAACTTCCACCCTAGATTAATTCAACTCTTCTCAACTAAATAAATAAATTTGAAAATGAATAAGAATTCTTGAAGTTGCCATTTAATGTAAATGCCACACCTCAAAATGGTAGGGCTTGACTAAACTAAATATATATGTAATAATGTAAATCTATAAATGTTTTAACGGTGTAGTATAATCTTTGTTATGTGTATGGTGCATTGATTATATATTTTACAAATATATATAATTATATTTGTAAAATGAACACACAATAATTGTTTTACTGCAATTTTAATAAATAAATACAATAAAGTTTGATGTCGACCTACGTGTGAATTTGGTGTGTAATGTAATTGCATATACATAAGAAATTCACATTTAGTTTTGGGTTGGTGTGGGGTATTTATTTGACTTGTTTCCAATTAGATCTATTTTTGGTTTGCAGTTGACCACTAATTGTTCATCTTATTAGATATATTATTATTATAGCCTGACTTTGTAGTTTGACCATTAATTTGTGAAAGTTTATGGTTGTATGTAGGGTATATATATTAGTATTAGTTGGGTCGACAATCATGGAAAGTCCATGTGAGTCGATTTTGGATTGACTCAAGCTTATATATTATCGGACTTCATTATTATAATTTCGAGATCACATATCAATATAACTCATAAGTGTAGGCTTACGCTCGACTCATTAGTATCAGGGGATGGAGGTCACGGGGACGAGAATTTTCACCAATAAAAATTAGGAGCAAGATTAAAAAGTAGGTGTGAAATGGATTAATTATAGAAGTTGGAATTCAAATCTTGTGATCCCAAAATTTGTTCACATCTGATGAAAATTTTGACTGTTGAATGTATACACAAAAGAAGTGGATAATTAATCAAAGCAGCTGTCACATTTCCTTTATTTTTAGTTGGCATTTATTTCGGCATTAAATTTACAGTTTAAAGGGATAACATTTTATATTATTATTATTATTTGTATAAATTTCATGGAAGTATGAATTATTTTCATATGATTTGATCAAGATTTTGACAGGTAGATAACAGCCGTTTTTTCCCCAATTTTTAAATGGCCACCTTTTATAGTACTCATTATTACTACATTATTTGTTGTTTAAGATTTCGATGTAGCACGAAATCTACGACTTCTTAACATATATGCGTTGTCGGATATGTTTTGCCATTTGCGACACTCGAGAACATTTAACGGACAACTTATAGGCCCTTTTGTAATTTCTAAACAGTTACGAATATGGTTGAATAACAAATTCAAATATTTTTCTTAATTTCCTAATTATTTACATGATTTAATGATAATAATATTTGATAAAAAAATTTATTTTGAATATTGTATGGAAATATGTAAATAAAAACTTATATATATTTATCTAATATATTTATAAATATACCCCTATATTTTTAATATTTACACATTTTCCCCAAGTTTCCGTATCCACATTTTCGTGTCCGTGCTACATAGATTCCGGTACATACATTAGCAAAATTAATAAATATAGATAAATTGTAAGGAAAAATATACTTAATGAGATTTTTATTTTTTATTTTTTTATTATTACTCTTAAAAGAAAAAGGAAAGAAATTGATGTGAATTGTTTCTGTATTGAGTTGAAGACCAGCCCAAGACGGAGTTGACTGACTTATTTAGGTAAAAGATTATATTTCAGATTGACCCAAATAGAAATGACGTTACCCATCAATATCCAGCCCAATAAAGCCCAATAATTGTAATAAGGTATAGCTATATTTAAATTTTAAAAAAAAAAAAAAAAAAAAGTAAATTTGTAAAATTATAAGATTGATTTAATTTAGGTATTAAGTTACGTCGCTTTGTGTACGAAGGGGGAGATACGTTATTCTACTAATAACGAGTTATGCTTCTAGCGTTTTTTTATCCCGTGAACAGCATGCGTGGACCTTCTGCATTGTTGACAAAGAAAGTCCGCCGAAAGAGGAAGTCCTTGCTTTAAATATGTAAACCTGAAGGTCGTACGAGTTTGGACTAGTTAGCTGTAGTTAGTGTAGATTAGCCGTAGAAACAACCCTAGTTTTATATGTATTGTACTCCGTCAATTCATGTAAGGCAATACTGCCGTATCTTTTCATTCCAAGTTTGTAAGAACTGCTACTATCAGATCATTTTTTGAGCCTTTAGTGAAAATTTGCCGATCCCTTTCGATTTCCAATTATTAATGTGTTCAAACGCTAGTCCATGACAAATTTAACAAAATCCTAAGTGAAACTCGAGCTCGATTTACTATATTACTTAATTAAAATTAAATTATTACAATGTTCCCTTTCCTTCCCTTCCCAAAACATTGGCCAATATTTACCTTCAATTGTCATCTAATCACACAAAAGGCCTAAAAAGCACAAATAAGAGGATCAAAGTGTAATTTGGCTAATTTCAAGTTGGACTTTTCTGTATTGAGGCAAAAAAATTAATGGATAAGAAGTGCTATATATGTATAATGACGTGTTAAATTAGGTTAATATCACTATCTAGACGTTGAATTTATGTAACGTATTTTCCAGATTGCCCAATCACAGATATATATGAGATAACCTTAGCAATACTTGGTTCTTTAACTATTTTGGAGAAATAGTTAAATAATATCATAATATATTGAACTTTATAAATATTTTAAGAAATTCATAAAATCTTATTTATCATCAACGTCATAAATCGTTAAATCTTTATAAATTAATACAGTTGAAACAAATAAAATTTTATTAATTTAGCGAAATATCAAAATATCGAACTAATAATGTAACACGTTTACTACGAGTCGGTACTAGGAAAAAAAATATTTAAACTAGATTATTAATTTATCGACGTTGAACTGTACTATGAAAACAATGAGATTGGCTAACGTACTCAACAACCCTGAAGTTTATGTTTTATAATATTAATTAATTATGACTATAAGCAAGATTAGTTGATGATTAGCAAAGTGGGGTTTAAGATAATAACCATTGTATGTAGTTAAGTTAGTTTACCAAATAATTAATTAAATAATAATTAGGGTCTTCATATGACGAGCTTAGTGTTGAACCAGCAAATGATTGGAACTAATTGAATTAAAAAATCCTTTTAATAATTTATGAACATGGGCTTACCTGTTTAGGGCTAAAGTTAATTGCTGTCACAAGACGAGACAGCAAATATTGGGCCCCAAATTGACTGTGACAGTTTCATTTTCTTTCAATTTTATTTTTTTTCAAATTATGTTTATTTATGTATTATCTAATTATTGTTTATTATTATATTATTTTGAAGACGATACAATTTTTAGATTTATATCATTTAACAATGGGGTAAATTATGAAAACGTCCTTGAACTTAGGTTAAATTACGGAAAAAATGCTCCCACCTATCTGTAGTACCAAATCCCGCGGCCCCAACCTATCCTTTTACGGTGTGACTTTTCACGGATTATTTTTCATTTCGGTGAATATTTCGCGAAAATTGTTAATTTTACCCCTGCAAACGAGACATTTCTTTACTGAGACAAAAACTATCCTTTAGGGGGGTAAGACTCTAATACTACAGAGTTGTGAATACGTTATTTAAGAAGAAGAACGATTCCGTGTAAATGCCTCTCTAAGAATATTTTTTGTTTTAAAAAATTAGTATAAAGAAATGTCACGTCTGCATGGGTATAATCAGCATTCTTTCGGGAATAATCCCTCGACTCAAAAAAATTCCGTGAAAAATCACACCATAAGGAAGGCGGTGTAAAACGGAAACACACATCGGAGGAGATTTGATATTTACGAATAGATGAAGATATTCTTCGTAATTCAGTCTAAATCCAGGGTTTTTTTTCTATAATTTACCCCTCTAACAATAATATTCAAGAAAACAACTAAAGCTATAAGCATAGGTTAAAAAATATCCATGTGTCAAACATGAAAAGAAACCCATTAAACATGAGAGAATAAATTATTCAACTTGTCACGTTCACACCATTCAACACAGAGTAGAATTCAAAATTAATTATTTCCATTTCACATAATAAAAATCAATAGTCAATTATACATGTTGATACATTTCCAAGCTAATTATAGTATTCTATTCCTATTGGTCAATCATCCCAGCTGTGTGACAAATTATAACTCAAGTAATTGAACAAACATATACTTATATTCACACCATTATTAAATAATTATTAAAATTGCTTACCGTGTTGGAAATTCCAACCAAAAAAATAAATTAAATTAAATAATAAAAAATCCCATTCTATATATATCACATTCAAATCCCCTAATCTTCACATCATTCACTCCAAACTTACTATTACAATTTAGAACACACACATAAACAAATATTCCATGGCCACCACATATACTTCCGAAACCGAAAAGGTGGCGGCGGCACCACCACCGGAGACGAGAGCTCCGGCGAAGAAAGCACACACGTTTGCCTTGGCTGAGGTGGTGCTGAGATTTCTCCTTTTTGCTTCAGGCCTTGTGGCTGTTTTGGTTATGGTCACTAGCAAGCAAACGAAATACCTTTCGGTGCCCGGTATTCCATATAAGATTCCTCGATCCGCCGTTTTCGACCACTCACCCGCTTTCATGTGAGTATTATATATACATACATAAATATACGTACCCTCTATACATACATGATACATATACACATATGCATGCACTTTAGAGAATATTATATTATAGAACTCTCCTAATATTAGGATTCTAGTATGATTCGGTTACCTAGATTAGTTAGGATTTAGTTACCTAGTCAAACTCTATTACCTTACAATATTTCTCTATATATATTCCATGTAATCAACCCATAACACAATGGGGGTTTCTATTCTACGTATTATTATTTCTCTCTTTCTCCTTCTTCTATTCTTCCTATATGGTATCAGAGCGCCAGGTTTTTTAACCTAGCCGCCTTTCTTCTCCATGGCGGTGACCACCCGATTTTCTCCCTCCCCCCGGTGGTGGTACTCTTAATTTAACGAATAATTAAATTATCGAACTAATAATTTAGTAAGTTTTTACCAAGTCGCGACCAGAAAAAATTAAATTATCGAAACTAATGATTTAGTAGGTTTTTACCGAGTCGGGACTAGAAAAAACTATTATTTAGTCGGGACTAGAGTAATTAATTGCATGCTTGTTTGTTTGAATAAGTTCTTGAAGTTCTATTATGGCGGCTGAATAAATATTTTATTAGGTCTGTAAATTAAAGCCACTTTAATTGTTCAATAATCATTATAATTAAATTATGGGTTTATTGCAATCGTACCCCTGTGTTATATAGAATTGCTAAAAAACTACCTCGTGGTATTTTTTTTGCCAAAAATCCCTATGATTCAATTTTTTTAGGGGAGCAAATTGCTAAAAAAATAATTAAATCATGAGGTTTTTTTGGCAATAAAATAACACGAGGTAGTTTTTTAGCAATTTGATATAAAACAGGGGTGCTAATTGCAATAAACTCGTTAAATTATTGGTTCCATTATATCAAAAGTAAAGGATAAAGCCTGCAAGTTGTGATAGGTCTACACATCATTAATAATCTTTTAAAGATTTCTCCTTTTTTTCATTTTCTCCTTTGGATGAAACTAATAATTTTTATATTTTTTAATTAAGAAAAATAATTTATTTAATAATCACTAATTATATGAAATTTAACTTTTGATGATGCAGATATTTTGTAGCAGCACTCTCAGTTGCAGGCTTCTATGGCTTAATAACCACTCTCTTTTCCTTGTATGCCCTCATCAAGCCTGGTTGCTGCCCGAAAGTGTTATCTCATTTCGTAATTTTCGATGTGGTAAGCTCTCGTAAATTCAAATTATCAAGAATTAAGCATATATATTGATATATTGACAAATGTATGTATATTTTGTGCAGCTGCTTCTAGGTATTGTAGCATCGGCGACAGGATCGGGAGGTGCGGTTGCTTACATTGGTTTGAAGGGCAATAAATACGTCAACTGGGGAAAGATTTGCCACATGTACGGCGACTTCTGCAAGCACGTTGGAGCTTCGATTGCAGTCTCGTTGTTTGGATCCGTAATTCTCGTTTTGCTGGTTTTGCTCTCGATTCATTCCCTGTCGAAAAGAATTCCGAAATAGATACGCACTCGAAAAGCGAAATTTAAATGTGAATCGTTTTGTAATGTTTCGTGTTTTGTTGTGATCGCAGATTCTTACGTTGTGTGTTTGTATGTTTTTGTGCAGTTATTCATTGTAGTATAATGTATTTATTCTGTATATTTGTTTATGGTTATTCGGGATTGTTTTGATGTAAGAATTTCGATTTTTTTTGGTTAGCTTCAATCTCGACTTTACATTGCCAAACGAAACAAGAAACGAAAGAATTACGTAAAATTTACGATTACAAAACAAGAAGAGAAAAACATAGTAATGTTACTAACCAATTAACAAAAATAGATATGGAAAATCCACAGCATGTACATATTCTCATTCGCAACCCGATCGAAAAAATCGTAGTGTCGCAACTCATCGCGGGTTTTTAAGTACACAAACCGACGAACCACAAAAAAAAAATCAATATTAAAAAAGAAAAAATTTCGAAGCAACTAGAAAATAGTTTGCTCCCCCAATTCTTGACCAGCCATGCCTTCTTCTAGAACCCTCTTAAAGAAATCTTCCAAAGTGTCTTTCCCGTAACTCGGAGTTTTCTCGGCATTGTACTCGTTAGTTTCCGGATCCAAAATCAACATACTCTCCGCAGCGTAATACCTTCCGATTTTCCCAAACTCCGCCACATCTTCCAAAGAAGGAAATGCACTAACAAGAAAATCAAGAAATCCAATAGCAAAGTCCATTATTTGAATAGGCACTTTAATAAACTTCGGCTCTTTCCCCACGAGCCTAAAAAGCATCTCCCCTTGCTCCAAGGGGGTCAACGCCCCCCCCGGCCCACCGATCGGGAGAACCCTATTCACCAAATCCTCACCCAACACACAATCCGCAATAAACGAAGCTAAATCGGGCTCGCTTATCGGCTTACAAGCGCACAATTTCCCGTCACCGAACATGACATAAGGCTTCCCATCTTTAACCAGCTCAACCTGACCCGCCAAGCTCTTGAAAAACGCAGTCGGCCTAACGATACTATAAGTGAACCCTTCATCCTTCTCCGATTCTCGAATCAACTCGGACTCGAACTTCAACTTCGCGCGTTGGAATTCCAAAAGGGGCTTTTGCACGCAGATTGCCGACAGCAGAACGAAATGTGCAGCGCCGAACTTCTTGCCCGCAACAAGGCTGTTTTTGGTCGCCTCGTAGTCGATCAATCTCGAATCTTTTACGCCACCGTTTCGACTAGCAAGACAAGACACGACAACATCGACCGAGATCCCGAGATTCTCGATGCTCTTTTCTAAAGATTCCAAATTTGTGACATCAGAAAAACACACCTTAGCACCACTCAACATACTCAAGGTCTCATCTTTACCATTTTTACCCCTTGTCCCACTTTTCTCCCTAGCAATTGCTACAACATTGAACCCTCTTCGGACAAGCTCTTTCACTACAAAGTTTCCTATGTAACCGGTCGAACCCACTACCAAAACATTAATTTCTTTAGGGTTTTTGTTTCTGAAGTGGGTTTTGGTCGAATTTGCTGAAACTGTGAAAAGATTGAATTTTTTTGGTCTGAATTTAGAGGGTTGGTGTAAATGCAGAGAAGGAAGAGGAATAGCGTATGGGGCTGTAGTTACCTGAAATTGACTGATCAAATGGGATGCATGAAGCCCTTTGAAACTACGTCGTTTTGATGGCTGGAGTGTGAAACCATTGCCGTTTAAGGGGGTACAAGCAGACATTTTCTTGAAGAAGGATTTTTGTTTTTTTTTTTCAGACTAAATTCATAAAGACCCAAGTTTTAATTGAAGAAACAGAAAATTTTGAGGTGAAAAAAATGGCGGAATAATACTATCGGAGAAGAATCGAAATGAATGGATGATATTTGGTGGGAAATGGTAAGATCATCACCGGGTATTAATTCGGGTTTGGTAATGTTGGGTCTTGACCCGGTTAAGAATATGGGCCTAGTGTTGGGTAAAGGCCCAAAAAGAAAGAGATGCAAGTTATATTATTTTTCTCATATTTGAGTTGTTTTGAATTGACGAAGGAATGGCCTAATGTTGGGTAAAGTAAACTACTCAAATTCGATTCGTGTTCAGTTTGGTTCGATTTAAGCTTGTTCAAATTCAATTCGGTTGTTTATCATATAAAAAATAGAACTTTGAAAACTCGGTTAAAAACTAAATTGAAAAACCGTATGTGTTCGCCTCACCTCGACTCGATTGGTACCCGCAAATGTAGCAAAGTTGAATTCTGGCTTGGTATTCAAGCTAGCCAAAAGCACAACATGTCACAATCAAGAATTCAAGGTTAACATATTGTATTAGTAACTTCATTTCTTAACAATTGACTTTCATGAAAGTTATTGGTTGCTTTATTAACAAGTGTAAGAGTTTAATCTGGGAATGAAAAGGTAAATTACAGCCGCCTCGATGTAAGGTTAAATTATGGAAAAAAATTCTCATTATTTGGGTAACTATTACGCTTCTCAACTATGAATTTTGTTACACTTTCACCCTTATAGTGTCAAATATTTCGTTGAATATTCTCTAATTTGTAATCGTTTTATTCGAAAATTCAGTTTTTAATGCACCACAATCTGATATTTACAAGCCAATATATATATATTTTACGATCATTTCATTTCAAAATGTGGAGCTAGAATGAGGTAAAATAGGTAAAAACCAGTGAATACATCTACAAGATTTCACCAAATTTAATACCAGAAGATTAGATGTGTAAGAAGATTTATAGTTGATGGGTAGTATAATTATACAAACACAGGAATTTTTCTTAATTTCATCTTAGATTGATGGAGAAGACTAAAAATACCAAACATATCCCAAAAGGAGAGAGAGAGAGAGAGAGAGAGAGAGAGATAGAGAGAGAGATTAAGGTAAAATAAAATGAAACCACAAGAACACCATAGCACGTGTACAGTTACTTGTAAGAACAACTCTTTCAGCTTCGTAGCACAACAGAAGACCATTAAAACAAACAAATAAACACCTCCCCTTTGAAAAATTCATCACCCGATTTCCATATTTTCTTCATCAAACAAAAAAATAAAATTAAAAATAAAAAAGGAAATATGCAGCAGGCAATCAACATACAGAATTCAATCCCAGATGATATTGCCCTCAAAATCGCTTCATCCCTTCATGTATTAACTAATTATGAATTCACTTGTTTCTTGATTTTGACTTTAAAAATCCATTCTTTTTGAAAAAAGATTCGATTTTTACTGCAGGTTTTCGACGTGTGTTCCTTAGGCAGTTGTTCTAGGTTCTGGAGGGATTTGTGTGGCTCTGATTGTGTGTGGGAGGGTCTATGCAAGAATCGGTGGTCTTCACTTTCTCTGGATGATATTCATCAAGAAACACACTCCAATTCAAAGGTCCCCTTTTTTTCTGTTTTTTGCTCCAGAATTTTGTGTTCCAATTTTATGTTCCAATTCCAATTTGTGTTCCAATTCCAATTTATGTTTCAATATAATTTTGTAGTTAATTTTTCCAATTTGTGTTTCAATATAATTTGTAGTTAATTTTTCCAATTTGTGTTCCAATTCCAATTTGTGTTTCAATATAATTTTGTAGTTATTTCTAATGCCATGTTTGGTTACCTGGAATTGGGTACTGGATTTAGCAAAAAATAGGCAATCTTGTTTTCTTGAACTATATTATATAATAACTTTCACATATTTCATAATCTGAATAATTCCTGATTTTTAATTTAAACTACTGTAGGGATGGAAAGGGTTGTATATAAGTAAGCACATAGATATGGCTGTAAAAGCAGCTTCTGTGACAACTTTTATGGAAAAAGCTTTAGCTTTTGAATCGATCGAGGCTGGTAATTATTTGAAAGCCATTGAATTATTGAAATCGCTGCAACTTGGATTCGAAGATGTTCGATTCTTCTTCCTCAAACCGAATCTCGATGTGCTGCTTAACTTGATCGGATTGCACTACTGCATTGTTTGGCTCGGTGTTCCGGTAACTTCCTTATATATATAACTCGAAACGGACTCATTTGATTTTTATTTTCTTTACATTGACTAATTAAAAAAGTTAATGAAACATTTTGATTACTCGTGTTTTCTCCATATTGCTTCATTTAGTTTAAGAATTAGTACAAAGGTAAAAATCGTACTGCACTGTGTTTTTAGGCCTCGTTTGGTTGCCGCAATTGGATTTTTTCAAGATTTGATATTTATTGCCGTTTTATTAATGTCCGTTTGGTCGGCAAAATAATCCAATATGTATTTCATTTTTTGTAAATTCCGAATATCTTTGTAGGCGGAGTATGTAATAGAAGCACTAGAAAGAAACCGTGTTTCGAAGAGGCAAGTGTGTGTGCAATGGTGGAAACTCGGAAGATGGTTTTACGGGTTCCGGTTAAGGGACGAGTTTCATTCTAGAAGCATCTCCTTGGAAGATCTAACGGCTAGTGACGAACAAATTATTGGAGTGCTTTCTCGTGGGGCCGTACACGAAGTTATTCGTGTTCAAATTTCTGCTGCTAAGCCTACTCACACGTCGTGGTCTCATCAAGTTGCTCAAGTGTGATTATAATAAGAAAAAAAAAGGCTTCGTCTGTTTCGATTTTGTAAATATACGGGTCGAAAAGTTGTCTTTCAAGACATCAATGTATATGTTATGTAATTATTGGCTTTGTAAATAAGATGTCTCTAATTTGTGTGTGTGTGTGTGTGTGTGTGTGTGTGTGTGTGTGTGTGTGTGTGTGTGTGTGTGTATATTAAGTTGTACTTTTTCAACCTTGTGTGAACATATTATTTTATGCATCTTTTTTTTGTTTTTTTTTTGTTTGGTTAATGTAAGTTGAGAATTGTTTATGTCAATGACAAGACTTCTTAACTATAACACATCTTTTTTTTTTTAATATGTTAATTAGAAGCTATATAATAAAGTAAAAATAGTAATCGGCATTCAATTTCCGACACCGTAAACCTACCTAAACTGCGATAACATCACGAATTCGGGTTCGTTTCTGATCACTAAAACGACATCGTATAGAGATTCCAAGTTCAAGATATAACACAATCAAGAAAAAATGTATTGAATTCTCATATTTTATATTTCTTACAAGTTTTCATGATAATCAAATTAATGGATCTTCAAACTTCTATAACCTCGTACACGAATTCATGATCATCGAACGACAATGAATCCGATGAAGAAAGAAACATTAGACAACGAAACAACGAAAGATTTCAACAACTCATCCACATTTTTCTCATGGGAGAGTTTATTTCATACAAACTCCATTACAAGAAGAAGAAAAAATCAAATTCTTGAATCCGAAAACCGAAACAAGTATACGAAAATAATTAAATAAAAAAAGTATATATACCGAATTAAATTTTCAGCAACAAGGGGTGCATCGGTACACGTACGCAACACGTTGCCGAGGTGTCGGATTGCAAAGAGAGATCGCCATAACTACAAGAAAGATTACCAATAGAATACCTGTCATATCTATTCCTCCATCTACTGATTCACAGCAGATTTTTCCCATATTTAAATTCCCTTAATCAAAATAAAAATAAAATAAAAAAGGATTATTCAGACAGAGTTTGATGATTGAGAAAATGAAAGAATGGAATTTTATGGAAATGAAGTGTTTGTTTTAGAGGAGAAGAAGTCTTTTGGTCAATCACAAGTCATAATCAGAAAAATATTTTTTAATGAAATACTGCTTCTTCACCTTTGATTTACACAAAATCACACACACATACATGTGTGTGTGTGTGTGTGTAAAATATTCAAAGATCCTAGATGTTACACCTGCCTATACCTAACACTGAGTCAACTCTGTTTTTCTTTTCCAATAATGTATGTTTAGATTCTTTGTTTTAGTTGTTGCTACCTGCAAAAGGGAGTTTCCTTTTCCCTATTTCCATTGGTGTTTTTTTCTTTTTCTTTTTTTTTTTTTTTGTTTGACAGTTCAAATTCTGGAAAGGCCAAACTCAATAAATCAACAGCAATTAAGAAAAATGTAGGGTAAATTGCGATCATCCCTGTAGTAAGCTCAAATTACGAAAAACTTCCTATTGTGTTGGGTAAAATTAGAGTCACCCATCAACTATGAATCTCTTCTTACACGTCCATGCTTATGGTATCAACAAAATCTTCTAGATTCCGTGGAATGTTTTGTAGTTCGTACTCGTTTTGTGCAAAAATACGGTTTTTGATGCACTACAATCTGATTTTTACAAGCCAAGAGACATATCTTATGATCATCTTGTTTCAAAATATGGAACTCAAATGAGATCAAACGGATACAGACTAGAGAATATTCCACGTAATCTAAAAAATTCCACTGAATCTGAACGTGTAAGAAGATTCATAGTTGATAGTTAGTTGTAATTACCCAAACATGACGGATTTTTTTCTTCGTAATTTGACCTTTCAGCAGCCGTGATTTACCAAAAAATGTATAAAGAGAACATGTAAATGTGCATACAGCATACTGTAACATTCCAATAGTAGAAAAAAAAAATTACAGTGTGCCAATGGAAGAAGGGTAGAAAGAAAGAAAATTTCAGCATTTACATAAAAAACCTAAAACAAATATTCTCACAATCCATCCCGAGAAAGAAAAAATAAATTAAAAATCAAGAAATGTAGGACAAATAATATTATAATCCTTAATTTAAAACTGAACTCTTATCTTTCTGATAATCTTTCTTCGATGGCTTTGACTTTCTTCTTGGAGCAGCAGGATCGGCCAATGGGCCCGACCATGTTTGAATCGGATCTTTCGAATACGAAAAATTCATGGAGCTAAACGGCACATCAGGAGGGTCAAACGGTTGGTCAATGGGGTGCGTAGACCCCATTGTATAACCGAGTCCTCCGTCTTGGTGTGGAGGTGGAAATTTTTCACTTTTGCTCTTTGCATTTGCGTGGTTAATTAGCCTCCGCTTCTGTATCATTGAATTAAATAAATAAAATTATTTTTTGGTAAACTCAGTAAATTTCCGGGTCTGTTATCTGAGGAACCAAAGGAAGACATAAGCAGATAAAGAAGTCTATGACAAATTAATCTCGAACGACTTACGTCGACATTGGTTCGTAGCTCTGCATTTGCTTCAGGGGCAGGGATTCCCCGAATCGTTCGTTGACGTGTCCGCGTTTTCTTCGCAACGTCAGTATGTGTCTTACCGGTAGTTCTTAACCTGCATTCTCAGGTTACACAGTTCATTCACTGATAAATTGAAAATGTACATATATGTGTGTAATGTATATGTAAAGGACTAGGGGTGGAAATCAGACGGATCGGATTGAAAGTAGCACTTTCGGAAAAAATCCGATCTTTTCGAAAGTGAAAAACTATCTCCAATTCAGTTCCAAAAAAATCCTAAACCAAAATTTCGGCAACTCGAATAGAAACTTGTTCCCAAATCGGAAATTTTCGGATCGGAATCGGCGGAATTTGGAAATTTTCAATTTTTGGTAGCCTAAAATGTAAACTGGATAATAATTTTGATACTATAAGTGTAATTCTCGGAAAATGTTTTTTGGAATTTTTGGTATTATTTTCTGAAATTAAAACCTGATCAAAATCCCATACATATTCCGGTTTCAATCGGGAAAAAATCAGAAATAGGATATGAATTGTCAAAAATCGGAAATTCCATTCCAGTTTCCACACCTATAGAGGATGCTTGCGTGTTCATAAAAAGGCAGACGTTATTTGCAAACATATAAACACGAACATCATTCATCCCAGAAAGACACTAATAAATAACAATAGAGGTCAAAATAATAATAAACAAATTCCAACCTTCTAGCTTCTTCATCCCGACGCTTAGCATCCATCTCCTTGCTAGGCGGATACTTTGGAAGGCTTGAAGGATCACATGCATAAGGCCTTGTTGTGAAGAACTGCAAACGAGAAAACATAATTCAATGCCACGTCAAAGTTCAGTACATATAAAAAGTGTGTCTGCGTGAGAGAGATAGATATATATAACACACTTCGCTACTTAAAGCAGATGTAGCCGTTTGACGGTGAGATGGATCAATTGAAAGCAGAGTCTCGATTAAAGGAAGTGACGATGCTGGGAAATCTTTAAACGCCTCAGTTATACGCCTTTTGTATGCTTGCTGTGGCTTGAATATTGTTGCATGAGGGAGCTTTGATTTTTTCCAATATTCGTCAGATGGAGAACCACATAACTTGAAAATCCTGTGCAGTTGTTCCACCTAATCACAAGAATTTTACGCAAATTAAATCAAGTACCAATATCAAGTGCTCACTCACATATTTTATTCGAGAGTAAAGTTTAAAAATAGGACAATAAGAAGCCCACAAATTTACCGAAAACATTACTATATTACACATTTCAGACTCCGCCATTGCACCATTTTGGAGTCAATATTTACAATCACAAAACTAATAATAAAGCCATTAGACACAACACACTATCCAACAAAACACGAAAAACCTCGGATTCGGTTACCTCCGTTCGGCCAGTCATGATGGGCTTGCCAGCAAATAGCTCGGCTAAAATGCACCCAGCACTCCACAAATCGACACCTACACCATAGTCAGTGGCACCAAGAAGCAGCTCAGGCGGTCTATACCAAAGAGTAACCACACGGCTAGTCATCGGCTGCTTGTTCTTAGGGTCAAAGGTGGCAGCCAATCCAAAATCAGCAATCTTAAGAACTCCATCGTCGTCAATCAAAAGATTCGAACCCTTTATATCACGGTGCAAAACATGGCGATTATGGCAGTGCTCGAGCCCAGACAATAGTTGATGTACATAACATTTCACCTACATTATCAATCATAGCATCACTACACAAAATTTTCCTAAGTGGCACACAGAAAAAAAAAAAAAAAAAAGAAAAGAAGAAGAAGGCGCAGAGTATCCCACCTGAGGCTCTGTAAACTTGATGCCGGGGGTAGAAGAAAGACCAGCCAAATCATGAGGCATATAATCGAACACTAAATACAAACTACACGACATTCTTGATGTCGCTAAACCTTGCAATTTCACTACGTTTGGATGATCCAATCTGCGAAGAATCAAAATCTCCCTAGCCATGAATTTCACACTCTCGGGCTCTAAATTATCGAACCTAACTTTCTTCAACGCAACAATGTTCCCCGTTATAGTATCTCTAGCTTTGTACACATTACTATAAGTGCCTTGCCCAATCTAATAAAAAAATCAAGAACAAAAATTAGAAACACACAAGTACATACATTATACATACACTAACAAAACATACGGAAATACGACAAATTAATCCGAAAAATCCCGCTTGCCTTATCGAGCTTCTCGAACGAATCGGCTTTACGTGGGGTCCACCCATTGAGAGCCTCGGCTGCAACCGCCACGAGCCAAGAAGGCCATCCAGCAGCCACTTGCTCACCATGTATACTCTTGGAGGGATTACTTAACCTAGGATTCGGCTTCGATTTTCTCTTCTCGTTTTTTGACTGCTTAGCAACTACATCTTTAACCTCATCTTTGTTATCTCCACCGCTCTGACCACCACCACCACCGCCGCCCTCCTCCGCCTTACTAACTGAACTACCTACTAATTTATCACCACCACCGCCTGACGCAACCGACGAATCTCTCTCTCCCGACTTATTTCTCTCTCTCCTAACTGCAGAATCGCCGCTGGGCGTTGAAGACACTTCCTTCCCAAAAGCACACCCCATTTTTCTCGACGAACACAGGCCTCATTTCTCACCACATAGTAGAATCATGACCCTCATTCAAAAAAATTCAAAATCCACCGAAATTATAGCCGATAATTCAAATTCAAAATCCAATCGAACTACTATTGCTACTTCGAGAACAAGTGAATCGAGTGATAAGCTCTACTCAATCGAAAATTCAGCCACGGATAAAATTAAGAGGAGATAAAGCGAGAATAATTGTAGTGTGAAAAATGGAGAAAGAACCCTAGATTTCGTATCAGTGCACAAGAAAGCAGAAGCAAAGCAATGATGATTTTGCGAAATCCCGCGATGTATGGGCTATGGCGGTCAAAAAATCAAAGGCAAATTATACAGAGCGAGATGATAAATTGATAATTATTGGTGGCTTTTGTTATACCTTTTTTTTTTTTTTTTTTTTTATTGCGTAAAAATAAATATAAATAAATATTTTACCTTATTTGTCTATTATCATATTAATTATTATGTGATTTTAATGGATTTTTACCCGTTTATGTATGATATTATTTTTAAATAACCCACTTTAATAATAAACTATGAAATTAATGTACCGACCCGCAATCGAAACAAGTGAGCTTGAGTCAATCGACCCAAGTTCGTATCTCATTGTATGGTCGTTGTATCGAGATAGTCACACATAGTTAATCTAGTGTTTTTTTCGTCTCACGTATAATTTGCAAACTATTATACGAGATTAATTTCCCATATGAATGTAGTGTGGTTTGATTGAATCCAATGATTGTAACCATATGAATGTAGTGTGGTGTGATTGAATCCAATGATTGTAACAGGTCATTAGACCAATAGTTTATTGTTATATCATCATCAACGTTGTCGATAATTAAACCCAAAACCTGAAAACTCGGATCCAACCCGAAACCCGTCCAAGTTCATCCAATTGATCCATCTTTTCATAGAGAAACTAGTGAACTACGTAATGTGTTTGAAAAACAGACTTTAATTTTCGAACTCTTTGTATATAATAGATTTAGATAAATAAATAAAAACAATTGAAAAGAAGCAAATATAGCAAGGAAGATTCACAGTTTATATACTTCATCTACAATTGATCAGTATGTAATATGTGTATGCACCACTTGCTCAAAAGAGTATTCTATCGAGGTTGATTGCAAAAGGGTATTTATTCTCAAAGACTATCGAGAAACTGAGCGAAGCTCGGATATTTGGGCTCCCACCCTAGTTCTGCTCGAGATTTCGAGTTGTTTAATTTCTTACCTAAAGGATCCGATGTTCCTGCAAAAAGTAAACATCACGATTTTGAGAAACGGAGGTTTCAAATATAACAAAATCCTAAGATGTGAGTGGCATTACCTGTGAAAGCCTCGAATTTCTTACTATACTTGCCACTTTTGTTAACTAGTTCCATCACTTCCTGTCTGAAAGGATAATAAGTAAATAGTTAATCCTATTGATTTTCTACTACATTTAACATGTAAATTTGTTTAGTTGAATAAAACAAAAACCTGGACACAGGATGATTATCACAGCCGAGAAAGATCTTGCCGCGAAGATTCTTTTTTAAGATGGCAATCGAAAGTGAAGCTGCATCCTATATGAGTTACACGAAGCATTGCATTAAATTCAAATTTCCGTATAAAATAAGCAAAATACACAAACATCACTGAAAGTGATAATAAAGGAGAATCAATCGCATAGTCAATATTGTGGTCAAGTATTACCTCGTAATGGATTAGATTAAGAATGTGATCTGGCCGAACATCAACGGTCCCTTTCTCCAACCAATACGTATGGGCACCTCTATCTACTTTGTGTGACAGTTAAGGCGGTGTTTGGATAAATCATTCTCGTTATTTGAAGTTGAAAGTTCGATAGTTAAAATTATATTTAAAAAAAAAAAGGATATGTAAAGTCCAGCTAGTCGAACAACGCAACCACCAGCCTCCAACACTACATTCTCTGATGTGAGTAGCTTATCTGTTCTGGGGCTCCTTCCAATGGGTACAACTGGCGTGTTCTATAAATCAATTAAAAAATACTCAACAATCAAAGTAACAACGAAAGCATTCAAATTTGAATAAAATATAAGAATTTTATCCTACAACACATTTTAAGATGTTATTTTGGCAACGGGAACACGTTAGAAACAGAAAGTTGAAATTAGTCTGATGAGAGATACCTCATCACAGGATCCATTGTCAAAGCAGTCATAGGGAGCCGAGCTTGAAGTAAATACAAAGGAACCTTCACCGTTCCAATTTAAGGTTGCTTCCCTATCGATACCATTAAACAAAAATAAATTGGAGATTGAGATATATTAGTTAGTTCACAAATGAATCGTAAAAAGGTCTTATTAATACCAAATTTTGAGAAATTGCATTGTAAGATGACGAAAGTCATCTTAAAGAAAGTAGTAAACAGGAATGTTAGTCTGCATATTGCTTAACGAGCCCACAAAAGCATGACACGCAAACAGAAAACTGTGATATTAACGATCCCTCGAAGAGTTTATAGGGGGTATTATATTTCGCACCTGACTTCACCTGGATAATCGAGAGTTCCGGAAGGAGGGGCGCAGAAAATGACGAATGGGAACTTATGACTCAATTGTGTTCCCTTCAGAGATGGAGTGATCCCTAACTTTATTAACTCTTCATGATGTTCGCTCCGCGCCGACTAGTAAGAGTTTCATATTAGATTTATAGCCTGCCATAGTAAAAAAACATTCAAATTATTCACTTACGCAGCTAATAGATGTAGAAGGAAAGTTTATATATCACACTTTATTACAGAAATACCTCTCGCCATTTTTCAGCCACTATTCGTCCCAGCACGCCTGGCCCAACTATCAGCAAGTCGTAAGCTCCAATAGCTCCAGCGGATGAAGCTTCCAGTTCGTTGTGAGGTGCATCTTCAACATATCAAGCAACATAAAGTTAATGGGTGGCATAAATACCTTTTTGTCACAATCATATCGTTATGTACAAAAATATATTTACGCATCATAGCCAATTCATACAGTCTGGTGTTACAATCCTATAAATTGGGAACTAAAACAATGGAATTAAGATGTTTATGATCGAGTTCATTTTGTGTTCGACCATCATTTCGACTGTACATTGACCTAAACTTGAATGAAACCGCACTCTAATTCGATAGCTTCACTTAGGTTTTATCATTTCCTAACTCAAGACGAAAAGCAAGGCAAAATCAACCAGTTTTCGAGCTTAATTTATAAATTTACCAATCTAGGCTCAATCGAATCCTGACATCACAAACAAATTTATAGATCCTCGATTCGCAAACTGCGTTTTGTCTCCTATTTCAGAATCACAAATACATATATCCGCATAAATTTAGTATATACACAATTTTTTTCGCGGAAACACATGTAGAATTGGGTAATCATATCAACCAGAACATCAAATTTCAGCTACATCAATATTGATTCGCTCACACATACTATGCACCAATTAAAACACAAATCCATCAAAAAACAAAGGATACCGCCAGAATTGAAGTAGAATGCAGTACTAAAACAAAAAACCAAAAATTTCACCAAAAATACCAGAATTGGAGTATTACCGATGGTGGAGGAAGCGTTGACGTTGACTGAAATCGGAGTGGCCATCGAAAACGACGCCGCAGTGGAGGTGAAATTGAAGCTTCTGGACAATGAAAGAGAAGTGGAAGAAGAAGAAAAGGGGGAATTGGAAAATGCGGAAGAAGCAGAAATCAGCTTTCTCGGATTTTGGGAAAGCCCCACGAATTTAGTGCTGCTGCTAAAGTTTGTTGCGCACCTCATTTCCCACACTTTTTTCAGATAATCGATGTGATCAATGAGTAAGAGAGAGAAAGCGATTATTACTTTTTTAATAGATGCCCATAATTGTTGTTAATTGGAGGCAGTTAAACCGCAGAGGATGAAATATTGCTTACCAATAGAAAACCGACACGTGTTTAATCGGACCTGCAATAGATTATTTGGCATTATTCTTTTATTTTATTTGTATTTACTCCCTTTTTACTTCATTTGACCCTACTTCTCTCTACATAAATCAATGCTTCGGAGGGGCATGGTTGGAAATTAGAACGAAATTTCGACTCAAATTTTTTTGATTATGGAACAATATTTTTACTTCGAACATTAAAATCCTAATTCGGTTTTAATTTTTAAATATTTTTCTTGTGATAAGGACGCTAAGAAGTTATATTATCAATATTATTATGTATTTTATATTTTATGTGACTATAATCATTGGAGACTTCTAAATTCCATCGATTCGATCAAAAAAAAAAAATCTTCCAATTTTTGAAATTCTGAATTTTTTTTTCGATTTTTTCCTTTCTTGCATAATTGGAATTGATTATTCACTTCCAAAAAGAAAAATCAGAAATTTTCCGAAAGTGCTAATTCACATCCGATATGTCTGATTTTCCACCCCGAGTGGTGAAACATTATTATTGTCCCAATTTTAGATTTTTCCAAAAAGAATTTATCAAATTATATTATATATGAGATTTCGAATTTCGATCTGATTGATTTTTTAAAATAAAAGTCAACGTCGTCCTATATGGAAAGAACAAACTGGGCTTGGGCAATGTGGAGCCCAATGAATTTTTATTTTAGCCCATCACTTAACTGGGCTTTTCAGACACTAATCTTTTGGGCCTTTCGAAATTAAGGCCCATCATATAATATGTATTTAATTAGACTTAACCCCCTCAATTATCCCTTATTTCGACATCATTTTATATTCCTAATTAATGATTCCAAGTGGTTAGTTGTTATTTTACCTGCTGCCAAACACATGATATAAGTTAACAAACTGTGATTGAAAAGTATGATCAAAGTTAATCACAACAACTTCACCTACCCTAATAACCTAATCTTGTTGGGATCTTTTAAATATTTTCTTAATGACAAATATAACATTTTTTTTCAATTTAAAATTAATCTCTCCCCATCTAATTATTAATTCTCGAATACGTCATTTATGAAAAATATCCTACTTTACGACTGTCTCATAATCTTTTTTTACCTGTAGAGTAAAATAAATATGTTCAATCTCGTTGGCCCGTAAGGGTATAACTCAGCTGGTTCCGAAGATCGTAAGTTAGTGCAAGGCTCTATGATCGAGGACTGGCCGCATCGATGCAAAAATTTCAACTCTAATGAGGATTGATTTCTTGCTGGCACCAGACTCAAGTCCGCTATCCTAACGAGGGATAGAAAATGGGGGCCCTGAGACGAGGAATTTTATCTTTTGATGCAATTAACCAATCTTAGTTCAACATCTGTCTAAAAAATTGACAATATGCAATCTTTTGTGACCAATACAAAAAATATAGACCCTATCATTATCAATTATTCAACATGTCACAAAATAATAGAAATTTCATAAGAATATAGTGATGAGATGGTTTCTTGCATGCTTAATAATATCAATTATGCGAATCATTGATCTTCCAAGAGTATTGTAATAGGTTAATTAAAGAAGCCCAATACATTTTTGTTCAATGCTTTTTTAGCCTTTTGACACTTTTATTATTTTTTATTTTTGCAATTTTATTAGGGGATTAATAGAAAATTATTATAATTAAAAAAAAGTATTGGGTTGGAATCTTTAATTTTTAATGCATACTATAGGCCATAATAGGGTGGTGTTCACATTAAATATAGTTTTTTTATGATGAAAAAAATATTAATAATAGAAAACACTTAAACATATTTAAATAAATGGAAATCAATTTATATTAATTCAAATTCATAATTAGTAACATATGGTCCCACTTGAGTCAAAGGAAGCTTTCAATAAAGTAAATATGTTCAATTCTTTTTTATTTGTAATTTTTTGACTACGTACTATTCCAAGGGGAAAACATATCGAGCTTAATTAAATTTGAATATTGTTGCTAGCCGAAAAAAAATAAAATGTTAAATGTCGTTTATCAATATTATTTTGATGTCTGATTTTGACATATTTCTTGTTTGATTTTGGCAAAAATTCAAAATACAGAAGCTGTAGTTCTTTATAGACTAGCTTTCTAATTCAATTTAAATCAGCTAGATTGAATGTCGTGTGACGAAGTTTTGCACAAATGAGTTATATTTTGAATTTTAGATCTTATTATATTTGGACAATATTCATTAATTAATGCATATCTTCCTCATCCGATATCAAATTTTGGTTATTCAGATTGAATTAGAAAGCCATCTAAAAAAAACTACAAATTCTATGTTTACGATTTCACAAAATTTGGAGTAAAAAGTGATTTAAATTGCGTTTGTAATAGAAACGGTATCATTTAAAGCTCGAATAACATTAACCATCTTGATTTAGATGTTTGTTTATATTTTAAATTAGGAAAACATACTTAACTAAGAGAATAATCTAACTTGTAAAGCATTTTTATTTTACATCGAAGATTAAAATATATTATAAAATATATTTGTTCCCATAATTTATTAGTCTAAAAAATGTCCATATAAGACTTCCTAAAATAAAAAATAAAAAATAAAAAATAAAAATAAAAAAATGAAAAAAAATAAAATCAAAGAAAAAAAACACAGTGGAGGCTGGAGTTATGTTGACTTACAACGGCGTGCATAAACCTCTCTCTCTCTCTCTCTCTCTCTCTCTCTCTCTCTCAATTCTTTTACAGAGTTCCTCTCTGTATTTAATTTCTAATCGATTTGTGTGAAAAGTATCAACAAATCACACACCCACAAACACAGATCTGCTGCTCAATCGGTTTTTCGTCCACTCACATTTCCGCCATTAACATATACGACCTTTTTTTTTTCAATTTTTTTTTCGCCATTACCAGAAAGTGCGAAATTCCGCTTTGCACAGAAAAAAAAAGGCGAAAATCAATCTAAATGCGAATGTTTTACACTGTATAATATTGAATTTTCGCTTTTTGTAGGCATTTTGATTTGTTTAGCTAATTATACTTTTGCCTTCTTCCATATGTTTGTGCGCTTTTGCCGAATATAATTGCTACTTCTGCTTTTTATACTTTTTTTCCCCTTCTTCTTAAATTTTAGTACAAGATCATAGGATTTTTGCCCTATTGTTTGGTCAATTTTAGGCTCCATTTGCTCAAATTTGATTTTTTTCTTGTGCGTTTTGTAGTGAATTTCTTTCTGAATGTACTGGATTGACTGATTGAGGAAATGCTGTTTGATTGATCCGTGTTAGAATTTAGAAGTTCAGTGATTTTGTAGTAGGATCTCGATTTTTAAGGTTCATCTTTTGGTGTGTGGTGATAATTTTTTGTGGGGTTTTGAAATGAGGTGCCAAAGGATGTTATGTGGTGAGAAATGAGGGTTAGGGTTTTGCGAAATGGGGTGTGTTTTCGGGAAAGAGGTTTCATCGTCCAGGTCTCCGATTGGCGAAGCTGTGGTTGTAAAAGGGAGAGTTAATGGCGGAGAAGAGAGAGATTCCTCGTCGGAATCGAAGAGGAGAGAGAAAGTAGTTGTTGGTTCAGTTAGTAAACGGGAAGAGGAGAGCGGTGGTGGGGCCCGTGGAGGAGGAGATGGTGGTGGTGGTCAAGTTCAAAATGGCGGTGAACGGAGTGAGAGGAGGAGGAGGTCTAGGCCAAATCCGAGGCTGAGCAATCCACCTAAGAACATCCACGGTGAGCAAGTTGCCGCCGGATGGCCGTCGTGGCTCTCGGCTGTGGCGGGAGAGGCTATCAGTGGGTTGACCCCACGCCGTGCCGATTCTTTCGAAAAAATCGATAAGGCAAGAGATTTTTTTTCCCTTCTTTCCTATGTTACTCAATTCCTTACTAATGTTTTGTACATTTTTTTGTTTTTTTTATTGTGTTTTAGATTGGACAAGGGACTTATAGTAATGTATATAAAGCTAGAGACGGCATAACGGGAAAAATTGTTGCCATGAAGAAAGTTAGATTCGATAATTTGGAGCCTGAGAGCGTGAAATTTATGGCTAGGGAGATTTTGATTTTGCGACGCTTGGATCATCCTAATGTGGTGAAATTGCAAGGATTAGCAACATCAAGAATGTCGTGTAGTTTGTACTTGGTGTTCGATTACATGGATCACGATTTGGCCGGCCTTGCTTCCAGCCCTGGAATCAAGTTTACCGAGCCTCAGGTAGAATAAATTTTGCAATTATTTCATAATTTCGTCGTACAATAAATTAAAAAAAAATCTTATCTTAAGGTATGTTTTAGATTTTAATTATTATGGTACCTTTCTTCAAAATTCTTTCATCAGATCTATTTTTTTTTCTCTATAATTTAGCTACTCGAGATTTGTTCGACTAAATTTTAAGACAGATGACTTTTCCCTACCGACAAAAGAAATAAAAAAATTTGAATAATTCATGAGTCTTGATTTGACACTCGGATTTTATACTATATTTACTTATTTTTGCATATTTTGATCGGATATGATAGGTCAAATGCTACATGCGTCAGCTATTAGCGGGCCTTGAGCACTGCCACAATCGGCATGTTTTGCATCGGGATATTAAAGGGTCAAATCTACTAATCAACGATAGAGGAGTTTTAAAGATTGCTGATTTTGGATTGGCTTCGACTTTTGATCCCAATAGTAGGCAGCCAATGACTAGCCGTGTGGTTACTCTGTGGTATAGGCCACCTGAGCTGCTTCTTGGTGCTACCTATTATGGTGTAGGTATTGATTTGTGGAGTGCAGGGTGTATTTTAGCTGAACTATTTGCTGGCAAGCCCATCATGACTGGCCGAACGGAGGTAATTAAAAAAAAAAAAGCTTCCTCCGCTTCAAAATAAGTGTCGTTTAAGGTTGATACGGAAATGTATTAAATAGTTTTGATTTTAGGGGAAAACGTTCTTATATGAGAAATTTACATAGCCTTATATAAGTCGGACAAAATATTTTTTGTCATGCCTTGAAATTCTAAAGTGACACTTACTATGGGAGATTGTTTTTTGTCAAAGAGTCACTTATTCTGAAACGGAGGGAGTAATGATTATGTTAAACTGTGAAATGATAATTTTGCCTGTGTAGTTTGGATGTCGAAGTTAAAGAAAATCTTGAAATAGTTTAATTGGGATTATGTCTATGATTAAATGTTATATTATCCGGTTTAGGTGGAACAGCTACACAGGATTTTCAAGCTATGTGGATCTCCGAGTGAGGAATATTGGAAAAAGTCGAAGCTTCCTCATGCAACAATGTTCAAACCTCAGCAGTCGTATAAAAGATGCATAAAGGAGACGTATAAAGATTTCCCACAGTCGTCTTTGCCTTTAATCGACACTCTACTTTCTATTGATCCAAGCGAACGGCTCACTGCTACAGCTGCACTAAATAGTGAAGTGAGCTCCCTTTTATCTATCTATCTCTGACCATTGTTTTTCCTACACACAAGGAAGCAAATGAAATCAAGAAATGAACTCGTTTTTTTTTTTCTAAATAATATAAGAATACTTTTTCTTTTCTTTCTAAATAATGAACCTTTTGGGCTCACTGTAATATTCCTTTACCCAGCCATAGTGGATAACGGACGGAATTGGCACTTCCAAAAAAATTCATTTTTTTCGGAAGTGAAAACCAATTCTGTGCCGATTTTTTTTTTTTGAAAAAAAAAAAAAATCGGAATATCAGAAATTTGAATGAAACAAATTGTTCCAAAATCGGAATTTTTTTATCCTAATCGGCGGAATTCAGAATTTCCATTTTTTCTACAAAATGCATAATAATATTGGAAAAAATAGGAACTCGCAACTTTCGAAATACGGAATGAAACATATTATTCCATATCTGGAAATACCTGGATGCAAATCGGCGGATTTTGAAAATTTGGTTCCAGTTTCCACTCCTATCGTGCGTCTTTGTAATTGTGGATGAAACTCTATAACATGATTTATCTATTTATTTCTTGTCTGCAGTTCTTCACAACAAAGCCTTATGCGTGTGATCCTTCTAGCCTTCCAAAGTATCCACCTAGTAAGGAGATGGATGCTAAGATACGTGATGAAGAAGCTCGAAGGTCTGGAAAATTTACTATATTCTACATACTCCTTTTTCCTTCTCATTTTTTTTCTTTTTAAATAGAAAAAACACCAAATATGGTGGGGGTTAAGCTAAGACCCTTAACATAAAATAACGAGTACACGTGTGTTTTGAGATTATCTCGAACGGCACATAGTCGAAACATTATGTAAATTCTGCAAAGCAGTGGTTCTTTCTAATTTGGCTTGATTGCGCTTCCGATTTTTTTTTTTTAAGAACTGGCATTTGATTGTAGGTTACGAGCTGCTGGTAAAAGTCAAGCTGATAGTGGAAGGAAAACTCGAACACGTGATAGAGGTATGCGGGCCGCACCTGCCCCCGAAGCCAATGCTGAGCTTCAATCCAATATTGACGTAAGTCTCTCATTTTCACTGTACCGTAAATCATCTTTATCCGTTAGTTCTTTGTACTTTCACCTTCATATTATACCATAAGATTGAATTTCATGGAAGCATTTTTTATTTTTGGATTTATAAATGAACTGCTATAATAATATATTTCTGTGCATTTCTTGATTTTGCCTTTTAACCATTTTTGCCCCCCCACGAAAAAAAACAGAGACGAAGGCTAATCACACATGCGAATGCAAAGAGCAAAAGCGAAAAGTTTCCGCCACCTCATCAAGATGGCGGGCTCCAACACAGCGATCTGAACGTTGATCCACCAGATGCACCCTTCAGTACTTCAATGAATTTCTCCTACTCCAAAGATCCGATTATAAATTGGAGCGGCCCATTGGTCGATCCGGGTCATGTAGGCGCTCAAAGAAGAAAATCGAAACCATCGAAGAAGGAATATTATCGAAGAGACAAAAACTCTACTCGGAACATGGAGAAAGATTATATGTAATAAAATATGCACTGGTTAACAAACGAAAGGCAGATTTCATGTTTTATTTTATATATATGCCGGGAAATTAGCAAACTGTTTTAAAGAGGTAATATATCTTTGCTTCCACAATTTTTTCTTCTTTTATAAACTTGAGAATGTTTCTTTTTTTTTCTTTTTCTAATGTAATTTTGAATATTTGAATTTTTTTTTGATATTAATTTAGAGATTTTATTTGAGTTTGATTTGACAGGAAAATGAGTTTGATTTTTCAAGGTATGTTTTGTCAAATTAAAATAAAAAATTTAATATTCTCTCATTATTTTTTTTTAGATTTATTTATTTATTAAATTTGCGTAAATTGCACTTACCTCCCATATGGTTTGGACTTTATTTACATGACCCCGTTGTACTTTCAATATAGCACATGATCCCCTTATATTTTAATATGGACACATAAGTCCCTTGTACATTCAAAAATTTCTTCTTCCTAATGAAACACGATTATTTCCAGAGTAAAAAACCATTGGGCAGTTATATACTTATATATAAATTCAGAGGGTCAAATGCACAAAATACAAACTACAAGGGGTTCATCTACTTATATTAAAAGTACAAGGGGTTATAGGTACAAAGCTCAAACTATGTGGGGTTTGAAGTGCAATTTTTGTAAGTTGTAAGTGATGGTGGGTGATACACACTGATACGTGTAGTACATGCATTATTTTCCAAATTCCACCGTCTCACCACCTTACTTCATATATCCTCATCTTCCATTCTTCCTCTTCAACTCTCTCTCTCTCTCTCTCTCTCACACACACACACACACACACACACAGACTTGGTAATGAGATTAGGTGGATCAGACTACAATGGATCACGACCAAGATTCCGCCTTTGCCATGGTTTCCTCTACAACCTCTGCACCACCGTCTCTTCTTGGTCAGTTCTTCTCTTTTTTTTTTTTTAATATTTTTTTTAAAGAATTATTGGAACAAATTTTATGAAAATATTTAAGGGCAAATTATGGTCATCCCTGAATTATGGTCAAATTACGAAAAATCCTTCCTATTTGAGTAATTACAGTCATCCATGAACTTTGTATTATCTTACGAAAATATTCCTCAATTTAGGGATGTTAAATCGGTAAAATCGAACCGAAATTCCGGTACGCCAACATTCCATGCCGTTTACCGAACCAAATATACGATTTGGTTTGGTAAATAACCGAATTAATTACATAGATTTGATGTAAAAATATTGAAGAGGAGGGGTGACTGTAGTTATCCAATGTAATTATCCAAACAAGAGCGGTGTTTTGGTAATTTATAGCCCAGGGTGTAATTTGCCCAATATTTAATAATAATAGATTTTGCAGCTTCTATGTATTCTGCTGTTGCTGGCTTCTAGAAGACTGTTTTGGGAGCCACCGTAGTCTTCCTTGGCCTCCTTATGAGTCACCGGAACCACCACTGCCGCCACCTCGTCATACTCATTTTGGGCCTCTTTTTGGTTCACCGGAGCCACCACCGCCACCTTATCATCATACTCATGTTGGGCCTGCGCCTCAAGGTTTCTTGGCCTCTGGTTTCGGCCCACCAGGCCCACCCGGCCCGCCACCACCGTCCGGCCCATATGGTTACCCGGGCGAACCGGCTCCGTTTTAATTATGAATTTCATGTTTTTTCGGTTCAATAAATAGTGTTTTTTCCCTTTTATTTAGAATTTTCACTGGATTAAATAAATGAATTTATTAATCTATATATATTCTCAAATTAAAGCATTTATATGCGTATTGTTGTATCTATTCTAATTAATATTTTTATTTTAAAATATGGTAATTAGTTAACTTTATCTTAGCCAACTATGATTTAAATTACTTAATTAGTAAACCTTTAACTAGAAAATATTTAAAAAAGAAAAATGAAAAAAATCTTATCCACATTTTATTTATTTGTTTATTATTCATTTGCAGCATGTAAAATCTGACTGGTTTTAATTAATATTTTTATTTCAAATTATGGTAATTAGTTAACTTTGTCTTAGCCAACTATGATTTAAATTAATTAATTAGTAAACCTTTTATTAGCCAATTATGAAAAAAAAAATGAAAAAAAATCTTATCCACATTTTATTTATTTATTTATTATTCATTTGCAGCATGTAAAATCTGACTGGTTTTTAAGAATTTGTGGTTGACATGTTACGCAAGAACTCGAGGCATGAAAATGAGTTGGTAGTTTGCAACTGGGCTTTTTGCCACGTGTCAGATCTTCATTAGACCACACAATAAATTTAGATATATTTGTGGTCGTTTGAATTGGATGGCCCATTTATTCTCTCTTTTTCCACCTTTGCCTTTTACTTTACATGTCAGCAAATTTTTATCCACTTTTTCTTTAAATTGTTTTTATCCACTTTTTATTATCCAAAGTTGAATATTTTCATTTTTAAATGTTATTCACACGTTTGTGTGATATAGAACTCTTGTGTTAATTGACCTAAGTCGTTAAATCGAACTTGTCACGAATAGTTAGTTAGTTAGTTCAGTATAGTTTACGTCTCTTGTATAATTTGCAAGCTATTTTACGAGAGTATATGATATAAGTCGTTAGATTGAATTTGTCACAAATAGTTAGTCTAGTGTAGTTTACGTCTCTCGTATAATTTGCAAACTATTATACGAGAGTATAATTTATCCAGTGCACCTATACAGCTGGCTGCGAGTTCCTTCCATTCTAGAAAAATTTTGGAATCGAAACATGTTGAGCCAGCCAACCAATTCATGAATTCAATAAACATCGAAAAAAGGTTCGAGTTTAAATTTTCAAATGGGCATTTGAAATAAAATAACTTTAAGCAATATAAATGAATTCAATAAACCTCAAAAAAGGGTTCGAGTTTGAATTTTCAAATTCATTTGAAAATTAAACAACTCAAGCAATGTGAACTTTGAATCTTCTATTTACCAATATAACATCATACATGTAAAATAACTTTCAACTATAATATCAAAAATTTTATAATGTAGTGGCTGATAAATTTCATTCAATTATCAAAATTTTCTATATCACAAAAATAATAATAAATAAATTATGCGGCTGGCTTTTCTTTCAATCAAAGCACGACACGTGTCCAATGCAGCACTTTTCTCTTCTACCATACAAACAATTCATACCATTCCTATATATCTGCATCATATTTCTCCATTCTATTTCAACATTCTCTCACCATTTCACAACAAGAAATCAATCCTTCTTTATTCTTTATCTTTCTCTTTCTTGATTCAAATCGAATCCCGTTAAAGAGGAATACACCTCTCCATAATTTCATCCACTTTCTTATCCAAATATAATATTTTTTCGCCTTTTTTTTCGAGGAATCTACCTCGTTTTATCCAAATACCCTTCAAATTTTCAATCTTTCTTACATTAAAAATTAAAAAAAAAATAAAAAAAAATTTCAATCTTTTTTGCTTTTTCTTGGCTAAAGATTCAATTTTTATTACCCGTACACAGTTTTTCTCATCTGGGTTTTTATTTTTTCGAGGAATCTACCTCGTTTTAGCTTGATTACCCTCCAAATTTTCAATCTTTTTTATATTCAAAAAAAAAAAATCCAATCTTTTTGCTTTTTCTTGGCTAAAGATCCAATTTTTTTAATATTTTTTACAAAAGCTATGGAGATTTCAGTGATTGGAAGCTCACAGGTGAATGTTGGGAGGATAATTGATGTTGGGTACTGTAGCTTTAGCAGGAATTCGAATATTAAGTTATTTAATTCAAGGAATTACAATAATTCAAAGGCGTGCAGCAGCAATCTTGGTCGGAATCAAACCCTAGTTTGTCCTTCAAGATCCACCGTTGGTTTCTGTCTTAAAGCATCTGCCTCTGCTCAGAATCAAGCTGTTGTTTCTGAGGAATCTTCAAACATCACCGAGCCTGTGAGTAATTTTTTTTTTCTTCATTTTTCTTTTATTATATTATATAGATATTTGGGTTATTAATATTTTATTTTATTGTTTATAAAAAATGGTAGGTAATTTTCTTTTATTATAGTATAATTTCCTTTTTCCTCTGTTTCTATGATGTTTTGATTAAGTAATTTGGTTTGATTTTCAGTCCTAAATTGATGAGTGGATATTAAAAATCAATAAAGAGATTAATTAATTAATTAATTTTTGTGTCAATTATCTTGCAGATTGAAAGCACGAAATTATACGTTGGTCTACCGTTGGATACGATCTCGAAATCGAATAAAATAAACCATGCTCGAGCAATTGCAGCAGGGCTGAAGGCATTGAAGTTATTAGGTGTGGAAGGTGTGGAGCTCCCACTCTATTGGGGGATAGTCGAAAACGAGGCGATGGGGGAATACAATTGGACAGGTTATCTTGCGATTATCGAAATTGTCCAAAAATTGGGTCTTAAGCTTCATTTATCCGTTTGTTTCCATGCATCCGAAGAAGCTAAAGTTTCGCTCCCACAATGGGTTTCGAGAATCGGTGAATCTGAGCCGTCCATTTACTTCACGGATCGATCGGGGGGTCGCTACAAAGATTGCCTATCGTTGGGTGCGGATGATGTTCCTGTTTTGGATGGAAAGACTCCGCTTGAAGTGTACGCATCGTTTTTCGAGAACTTGAAATCTTCGCTCTCGCCTTTCATGGGTTCCACAATCACCGTAAGTTCATTTTTTTTGTGGAGTAGAAGTGTCTAAACTGCGTGGTACACACACACACACACGTGTAGGGGTGTAAATTGGAATGGAATTGGAATACATATGATATTCCGATTTTCAATTTGATTTTAATTTCCAAAATTAATTTTTGAAACTTACGATTTCCTCCCGAAAAATACACTTATAGTACCAAATTATTATGTATTTGATATTTTAGGTTAATAAAAAAATTGGAATTTTCCGAAATCCGACCGATTCCGATAAAGAAATATCCGTTGTTGGAGCTAGTTTTTCATTTCCAATTTTTAAACGGAATTGGAATTAGTTTTTCACTTCCTAAAGAAAAATCTAAAATTTTCAGAAGTGCTAATTCCGATCTGATCCGTCCGATTTCCATTCCTACACACGTGTACGATTATATATCATTTTGTAAACTTCACTTGGTGTATCATAGAATAAACTCTGATTTAGTCCGTTTGTTTCTTTTATCCAATAGGGCTTGTCAATAGGTCTCGGACCAAACGGTGAGCTACGATATCCATCTCACCACCAAGTAAACGCACCACTCAATCCGTGTCGGAGATCCAATGTA